GGAGGCACACACTTGAACTTGGAGGTAATGTTTATTACTACACCCCAACAGGGTACTACATAACTTAATAATATAGGTGGTAGCTACCACGGTTAACTCAGACCCCAACGGGATAACTACTCATCCGAGTCAGGTCAGTAACGTACTGCCTGACTCACGATGCCAAACGTGATGACCGACGACCGAAGAGCGAGGAGACGTAACACCGCGAGTTGATTCCTGAAGCCTGGAACGGCTTTCGGGACCTCCCTGATATGCCCCCGAGCGTGGCCCGGCTCCACCCCCGGCCACGCCCCCTTCTGGATCCTTCTCAAAGGTTCTGGGCCACATGTCCCTCTTGCCACCCCCTTGGCCCCCCTCGCTACACTCACCTGGTCACGTGCCCTTTCGGGTTCACCCAGACTGTCACGTTCTCTCTGACCGTTACCAGAGACTCAACAGTTCCCCCTCTTGCATCAGTAGCTAGCGCTAGACGCTGTAGTGGCTCAATATACACCAATACACCACTACACTTGTACACGCTATGTTTCAAGGACTTGGGTCGCCACTCTGCCTGCTCCAAACTTACACCTAGGAGCCTTAAGATTAAGCGAAAATGCTCCGATATGGACCTACAGAAGGCCTCAAACTATGGAATTAACCTGCTTTGAATACAGCAACTATGGGAACAAACAAATCCTCCCCCATGGAAAGGATGCACTTTTGCAACTGTAATAGACAACTTATTTCTTCACCATTTTACTGACTGTAGAGGAAGCAACATATGCATTCTTATTACGTTTTAAATGTATACATTAATCTTAATGTTTTATTGATTACATTATCGTGCTTACCTTACAGTGTCGTTTTTTTATTCACCGGAAATGCTAAAACCTCAAATTAGCAACAATAGAATCCTTAAGGTGCAGTGGAAATGCTGAAGCCCAAGTCAGTGATTTCCTGCTGAAATAAGCAGAGGCAATGGTCATGTTTACAGCAAAGAAATTCCACATTCACATTGCATGCAAATTCCAAGTTATCCAAAGGACTGTTGACTTCCCCACAAAGTGGTACTAATTTTATCCCAGAGATGATGGGCTAAGTCAACCCCAAACCATAATTTGAATGTAAGCCGCTCGCTCTACCGCTGAGCCACCAGGACATATAAACCCGTATTAAACCAAAGTCAAAGGCAAGTGTCTAGAATCGTAAGAGCAGCAGAAATATCCACACTGGCCAGTATATCTGCCTCACGACTGCTGCTGCTTACGCAGCTCGAAGCCATGAATCCGTGGGAATTACAGCAACTGCAGACGCATTCCAATCACGGGCCCCAACCAATGCGCCCTGCACAGCCACAAGAACGATCATTAACGTCACAGATTTCCCACAGTCGCATCCAAAATTGCATTATTTTCAAATATGCCAACAATGCAACAAAGTACTGTTATCGGTGATGAACGTATTCTGAACTTTGAATAACTGAATTTACTGATGAGTACTTGTAATTTCCACTCAAGGCTGCTGTATTGGGTCCAGTGATTGTGTTGTGGGTAAACAGCTCGTTAAGATTGCTGTCATTCCTCCCATTCCCAATGAAATGCATCTTCCTATAATTTATCAGCACCTCCGATGAGCACGTTTGGTTTCGTACGATACGAAATAAGTTCAACATACATACATTTATTTAGTTATCCAGGGAACCAGGAATCTCAACTTTTTCATGAGGGTCCGTCATTGATATGCAAGGTCAATTACATTGAAAGAAGCATTTTATATCTGGGAGGAAACTAGAGTACCCAAAGAGAATCCACATGGGAGACCTAAAAAGTGTGCAGATGGGTTCACAAGCATACTTGCTATATTGCAATATCCTCACCACCTTGCAGCCTCAGTCAATGTGGGAGTATAACAAACCTGTAATCCATCCTTTGCCTACAAAGTCCTGGATTACAAAATTATGTTCTCCTTCGAATGGCTTTTGAGGCGCTCGTGACATTTTGAGTGTAACACCAACACTGAGACATCTTGCATTTTCAGAAGGTAAAATGTATTTTATTTTATTTCTACCTACGTGACTTTACCGAAAGATCTTCTTTGGTTCTTTCGGTAAAGTCACGTAGAATGAGAATAAAATAATAAATTGATAAAATAAAATAACACAATAATATTCTCACGACGTTTCGACCACAACACAAGCGGCCTTCATCAGGTGAAGGGACGAGACTGTCTGGTAGGACAGCGCTGGAGTGAAAGAGCCACGTTCAGATCACGGCCTTTAAGCTGTGTGAGAGGAACAAAGTGCCTTGACAAAGGAATTAGCATATAATTTAGCATTGAAATGGCTGAATGATTAGCTTGTGACTGGTCACAGAAATAGTTATGTTAAAAATTAAAGCATACACATCCGCAGAGGCACCCCTTGACAATGGAATTAGCATAGAATTTAGCATTGAAATAGCTGAGTGATTAGCTTGTAACTGCTCAGAAATAGCTACGTTAAAGTCAGACCATACACATTCACCGAGGCACTTAGTACAAATCAAACAGGAGAATTTAGCATTGAAATAACTAGGCGAATTTAGCATTGAAATAACTGAGTGATTAGCTAGTGACTGGTCACAGAAATGACTATGTTGAAGTCAAGGCCTACACATCTGAGCTATTCACAGTACTATATAGTGAACCAATAAAAAACTAAAATATAAATTACCTTAATGTTATCAATAAACTCTATATTCTCCAATCAGCTAAGCTACCAACAATAAGTCGTTATATATCACAATGCTATATGGCGAAAAAATGGGTGGATTCTTACCCTCAACTTTAGCACCACGGATAGCTACGGGCCCCGTTCAGACGGACGAGTTCGTCCATGGTCGGAACAGAGGAGGGGGAGAGAGACAGCTGCGAGGCGCTATTATACTCCATGTTGTAAACCCCCCCCCCCATCTCCGGTTGTAGCCAAGGTATTCATGGAAAAATTTGAAACTGACGCCATCCAGACTGCCACTCTACGCCCGACCTTATGGAAGAGGTACGTTGATGACACCTTTGTCATCTGGCCACATGGCCAGCCTGCTCTAGACCAATTCTGCGACCACATCAATTCCATACACCCAGCCATCAGATTTACCATGGAGGTCGAAAAAGATGGCAAACTACCCTTTTTGGATGTCTTAATTAAAAGGAGACATGATGGTTCAATGAGCCACTCTGTCTACAGGAAAGCTACCCATACAGATGCTTACTTGAAACCGGATTCCCACCACCATCCATCCCAGAAGAACTCCCTCATCAAGACTCTATACCATAGAGCCCAATGCATTTCCGACCAGGAACACATTACCAGTGAACTCAAGCATGTACACCAGGCTCTCAGGGCTAATGGCTACTCCGACTACACAATCCACAAAGCCATCACTCCAGTCATGAAGAAGGATCCTCTTGTGGAGCCACTCAAAACCATCACCTTACCCTACATTGCAGGGGTCACTAAAAAGATCTCCAAAATCCTGAATAAACACAAGATCCAGGTCCGATTCAACACAGTACATAAAATCCGTGATTTAGTTCCATCTGTAAAAGATGCTGTTCCAGACATACAGTACCCGGGCGTTTACAAACTAAAGTGCCTCTGTGGTAGTAGCTACATTGGAGAAACCAAAAGACATCTCGGACCGCATCCGCGAACATAAAGCAGACTTGAAACACGGTAGGACGAACTCCTCTGCCGTGGCAGATCACTGTTATAATTCAGTGGGCTCACATGACATTGACTTCTCCAAGACGGAGGTTCTTTGCAAACCAACCGGCTACCATGAGAGATTCGTTCATGAGGCCATTCACATATACAAGCACAGAGACAATTTCAACCGAGAAGATGGATTCTGGCTTAGTAACCACTGGAAAGATGTTTTAAATCATTTCTGTTCTTAATTAATTGTATTTTTACGATGACCTTCAGACCGCAGCTCTTTCGCCAGCATTGACTCTTAATACCTCTCACACCACGGTTAATGGTATGGTTTTACAACATGGAGTATAATAGCGCCTCGCAGCTGTCTCTCTCCCCCTCCTGTTCCGACCATGGACGAACTCGTCCGTCTGAACGGGGCCCGTAGCTATCCGTGGTGCTAAAGTTGAGGGTAAGAATCCACCCATTTTTTCGCCATATAGCATTGTGATATATAACGACTTATTGTTGGTAGCTTAGCTGATTGGAGAATATAGAGTTTATTGATAACATTAAGGCAATTTATATTTTAGTTTTTTATTGGTTCACTATATAGTACTGTGAATAGCTCAGATGTGTAGGCCTTGACTTCAACATAGTCATTTCTGTGACCAGTCACTAGCTAATCACTCAGTTATTTCAATGCTAAATTCGCCTAGTTATTTCAATGCTAAATTCTTCTGTTTGATTTGTACTAAGTGCCTCGGTGAATGTGTATGGTCTGACTTTAACGTAGCTATTTCTGTGAGCAGTTACAAGCTAATCACTCAGCTATTTCAATGCTAAATTCTATGCTAATTCCATTGTCAAGGGGTGCCTCTGCGGATGTGTATGCTTTAACTTTTAACATAACTATTTCTGTGACCAGTCACAAGCTAATCATTCAGCCATTTCAATGCTAAATTATATGCTAATTCCTTTGTCAAGGCGCTTTGTTCCTCTCGCACAGCTTAAAGGCCGTGATCTGAACGTGGCTCTTTCACTCCAGCGCTGTCCTACCAGACAGTCTCGTCCCTTCACCTGATGAAGGCCGCTTGTGTTGTGGCCGAAACGTCGTGGGAATATTATTGTTATTTTATTTTATCAATTTATTATTTTATTCTCATTCTACGTGACTTTACCGAAAGAACCAAAGAAGATGAATCATTGCAGTCACGAAAGCTTTAAATCGAAATTTACTGAAAGAACCAAAGAGTATGGATTCCTGCAGTCACGAAAGCTTCAAATCAAAATTAAAATGTATCAATTTAAAGCTGTGTTGAAAACAGGAATGCATGGAACTTAATGACATGATCTGGACCACAACATTTATTACACTTTGAATTACAACCTTGATCAGCGTGGAATGCAATTTATTTCTTATTTTATAAACACACACAGTGCGCTACTCCTAAACAAGTATTCATATATGAATGGACAGGGTGCGCCCCTAAGGGAAAGTCAAGGATTCACGCCAAGTGCCCTCCAATATTTATCGTGCTTAACACGGCGTTGTGTCCATCGTACTTGTTGGCTCGTACGCTGGCTGCACACACACACGAGCACAAGTCAAAACTGCTTAAAACCATCATGGAAATTGGCTTTGATAATAAATAAACTATGGCAGCCGAAATTCAAGTTTTAACCGTTTTGGCAGGGCAGAATTAAAATTGTCCTGAAAACCGTCCTCATGTGCAGTCACATGCGATCACGATTTGCAAAACTCTGAACATGTTCTAGTGTTTGGTTAAACTTCTCAAAAAAATGACCAAACTCCGTGAAGCACTGTCACTATCACTTTTTCTCAAAATCTTTTTTACCAAGCTAGCACAAAAGCCTCTAATTTTGAGACTGACAAAAATCAGACAAGAGGGCAGCCACTGACACTGCCTAAAAGGACAACTGCCACAGGAGTAAGACGGTGATCCTGCGTAATTGACAGGGACTTTTTGGAAACCGCTCAACTCTGCTGACAAAATTGCGTGCGTCGTCAAACGGCCTCCTCGCAGGTACGAATGGGGAGTCAACAGCATACTGTGCACTGGTCTTCACACCTGCGATGTGGTATACACGGCACGCTCTCATGGACCATCATGACAACTCCGTGTGCAATCAGACCTGCTTACAAACATGGACACGAGACGTAAGAGTGGTTGCGATTTTGCTGAAATTAAGTTAAGGACAGTGTAACACTCAGTGCAATATCAAGGCAAACTACAGAGGGGCCTGGCATGCCGCCGTGCTGCCCGAGGCAGCCTGATGCAGGAGTTCCGCCCGTAGCCAATATCATGCCTGGCTTGGTTGTATACGTGTTTACACAAACGTGTGTAAACACGTGCACAACTTTCATCTGTGTCCACCAGCATGTATACGGAGCGTTTTATATAAAATATTCAATATGGAACAAAAAGGCTTTTATTAAACATTTATGTTTTTGTCTATATGGTTTGCCAAACAGGTGCGCTTCTATGTAAACAAGCCAATGAGCAGAGCAGCAAAGCCACTGAAGTTCATGAAGAGAATGTGATTGAATGTGGGTTTTGGAAAACGCACTGGTGCATGGACACTGTATTCACTTATGCAACCGTAGCAAATTATAAACTGGATGGTAACTGGAGTGGGTGCGCAAGAGGCATTTACAGCAAAGGACAGAGTGGTCAAGTTAAAACACATGGCAACAAAGCATGTGCAAACTGTTAACAATGTTAAACAGAATTCCTGCTTTGGCAAATGTTACAAGGCTGTGTTAAGACTAAATTACACCATTCTCTACAGGCTACATACATTGCAATATGATAATCACTAAGAGTATGGTTAAGATTAATCTATTTACTTTATTCTTTTTGCCATTTGGCTATTTTCTATATGTAATCACACAAAGGCTTACCTAACACCATCATGTGCCAGACTCCTTTAAACAACATGTGCTATTAACACCCACGGAAGCCAACTTAAAATCGACCTCCACAGCAATACAGATGCTCCGTCTCAAGACTCCACGAGCTACTCTCATAAGGGCTCAAGGTCCCAAAGGTGATGTGCAGGTATAGGGGTTCAGGTTAGACACATGGTTAGCTTGGGCATTGAGGTTATTAGGGTTAGCGTTTGGGCTAAGTGCACAATTGGGGCACAGCGAAAGGTTAGGTGCAGTGTTGTGGTCAAGGTGCAGGGTTTGTGCTCAGCATAGGAATAGGAGTTCCAGTACAGGTTCATTCATATGGCCAGCCATTGGAGTTGAGTAATTGTTAAGTGCTAGGTAGATGACACAAGCAGATGTTATGCTAGTGGATTGCCGTAATGCCAGTGGATTGGGGGCAAGCCCGTGTTCCCATTTCATCCTCCCCCATCCCCACATGGAGCTGGCAAACACTCACCATCGCACTTGCGTAGCTAAGATTAAATGTTAGACGCAACCAAAGCGGTGTGTCCCAGGTCAACCAACGCAATTGTGAAGTGTTATTCATACACAAAACGATTTTAAGTCGTCATCGTCAAGCATGCCATTATAGATCTAGTGACAATGGCACATTGGTGTTGTAAATAATTTTATGGGAGTGATGTTACTAGAGTGCACATTTGAACCCTTTCCCATTCCGAGATGTCTGCAAGTTGCAGGGTGGGTCTCGTTCACCGCCGAATCTCGGAATTTGTAAGCGGTTAGAGTAAATTTGATTTAGAGGCATAGCGCTGCTGTTTTTAAAGACATTGTACCGTACTCGTCGCAGAGAACTGTAGCGACAGGACCGCACTCAATGATAGTTGGCGCCAAACTGTGCCACATGCCCTCCTGTGTGGCCTTTCACTTCCGATTCCATTCGAAATTCATTCCTTTCTGATGACGTACACGTATGATTGGAATGGGAAAGGGTTGTGTATTTTCTCAATAATGTAGCTTTAAATTCACGATAGACTGCCTGGGACACACCATAATCTACAAAAGATATTCATTTATTTTAGATTGTAAATTTCATTTTAACCCAATCACTTTGCCTCTACCCCCTGAGAAAAAAAGCCTAGCCCTATTTATGCACACCAACGTCATCGTATTGTCAGAGAAATAATCTTCACCTCCCCACCCTCTCCTTCTATATCGCCCAGGCCGAGTGTTCACGATCCCAACGGCTACTTGGTTGTCTGCCATATGATGATGCCCACGATGGCCACAACAACCGCCAGCACGACAATAATGATGCAGATCTTCTTACGCGATGCGGTCTGCCAGGGAAGGTGGGGGGGGGGGTGCAAAGAGTGGATACACAGGCAAACTTTAACACACACCTGGACACATTTCCCAACCCTGACCTCCAGGTGTTATTGGTTTGGGTTGCGAGGTGGTCACAGAGAAAAGACAATTGAATCCACCTGTACAGTGTGAGAGGTCACTGCCTTGTATATATTCTCCAGGTATATTGCTGTTTCCTTTCTTAGGAACCAAATACTGATGAATGGAATGGCTGAGCATTCCAATGCAGAACCCTCCTGGAAATGTTAAGTTTTCCTAAGAGGGCATTATCATATTATCATAATCACCGTAATATCTGCAACCTACTGCCAGATGGAGATATAGCAAGGCTTTATTGCGTAATAAAAGGACATTACCATGAGTGGAAGAGGCAGTGATTTAAATTTGTGAGCTGGCATTAAGATCAGTGTGGCTTATAACAGGGTAGTTTAAGCAACTACTACGCCCATCTGCATATATCTCCGCATTGCTACCGACACTGATGTTTGGCTGAGATGATCTCGGGGAGACCAAAATTCTTATTCACATTCCAATTGCCATTGCTTTACATGAGGGCCAGAATTTCAACTTATAATTACACACACACAGGCCCACAAAATTGACTTGCTAGCTGATGAAAACTAGTACCGTCATCTTATCTTTCACATGTTCTGTATTCTTTAAATTTTGTACTGTATTTGTGCATAGACGTTGTTTTGTCCCTCTTGTACTGTCCTCACTTTTGTACCATCTCATCTGTAGTTTAATTGAATGTTTAAATTTGTGCCGTGTATCGTTATATTTTGTCCGACTAATTGTTGTACCCATCACATTACCCATAAGGTTTTTTTTAGGGTTAGATTGCGTAAATGTGTCGTTAAAACCCGCCACTACCCGACACATCCAACTAGTAAGGGTTGTCAGAACATGGCAATTCGTCACTAGTACAGCACACCGGTGTGTTGGAGAGTCAAGCCACAACATTTACAATGAGTACGACGTTTCATCAGTAATTACAACTAGCTTCATGAGGCGACGGCCAGATTTGTGGATAAGTCCACCTGTTTCGTTCCTTATATAGAGGCGTAAATGTGGTGACCACACTTCTGCGCTCTTGCGCAAAGTGGGGGGGGGGGGGGGATTAATGAGCCAACGTACATTATGCATGCGCATGCGAGCCCTTCTAACCCAAAAAAAACCTCTTATGGATGACATTGGTCATCACATTACCCATTTCTAAATGCCATGTCAGGCCAGGCATTAAAACAAAAATGCCATGGCATCATAATATGTGCGTGTAGTTTGTAGATTAGAAAAGTGTTTTTGCAAAAGAGATTTGATGCGTTTATTGTTTGTTTTAAGAATTGATTTCCATCCCCAATTAAAAAAACTTCTCAGCATATGGCACAAAACACTTCTTTCCAGTTAACAGGCAAGGGTGCAGGAAACAATGCGGTCAAATGAATCGGAACGACAAACAGAATTTGTAAAAAGAAACCAATTGAATTGAATGAGAGTAGCAATACGCATATTCCCACACCTCCATTTGGCTATACTGTGAAAGAAGTTCAACATACATATTTTACTTCTTACGTGTTAGGGCGTGACCTGTGGTAACACCGTAGCCTGACACGTCAAGCACTGGTACTCATGTTTAGGAAAATTCTCATTTTTAACATTTATTTAATATTTACGCATTTGAAAAATCTACATCAAGTGGAAAAATCCTACAGCACAAGATCAAAACGCCAACACGCTGTGCAAAGGAATGTTGTTAATTGTAGGGCGTCAGATTCACAGAGGGATAACAATATCATGCAAGTCTGCAACGTGCATGAAAACATGCAATCATGAGACACCCAGAGACCTAATGAGAGATTAGCCAGTCAAGAGAGTGGGGAGTGAGAGGGCTGAACTGCACGGCAGCCACTACCACATGACAGGGTGACACAAAGAGAGCCCCTGCCACACCTGGTACTGTGCTGCTCTGCGCAATTGCTGATTCGCCTGCTCCACATGCACCTCCGCAGTCTCCACGTTCGCCTCGATGCTGTCTGCACGAGGAACGCAGTAAAGGTTACAGCCGGGCAAAGCTGCACACACCTGCAATCCAGTGACTTGGAGAAGATTGGTACATCACATAGGTTTGCAAAACTTCCAAACCTGTTGTTTTATATTTGTATTATTTTATTGTTTCCCTTTTTCTTTGTTTCTTTCGGTAAGGTCACGTAGAATGAGAATAAAATAATAAAATAACACCATAAAATTGTCACGACGTTTCGGCCACAACGCAAGCGGCCGTCTTCAGGTGAAAGGGACAGACCTGTCGGGACGACAGAGCTTCAATGAACGATGTTAAGATTCGTAGCGACTTTTAAGCTGGTTGGGAGAAGTGAGGCACCTTGACAAAGGGGTTTACATATCAAATAGCTGAGGGATTAGCTTGTGACTGGTCACAGGAATGGCTATGTTAAAGTCAAAACCTACACATCCACAGGAGGCAACTAGTAATTTCGCATTGAAATAGCTAAGGGATTAGCTTGTGCAAATAGCTGAGGGATTAGCTTGTGACTGGTCACGGAAATGGCTATGTTAAAGTCAAAACCTACACATCCACAGAGGCAACTAGTAATTTAGCATTGAAATAGCCAAGGGATTAGCTTGTGACTGGTCACAGAAATAGATGTTAAAGTAAAGGCCTACACATCCACAGAGCTTCAATGAACGATGTTAAGATTCGTAGCGACTTTTAAGCTGGTTGGGAGAAGTGAGGCACCTTGACAAAGGGGTTTACATATCAAATAGCTGAGGGGGATTAGCTCGTGACTGGTCACGGAAATGGCTATGTTAAAGTCAAAACCTACACATCCACAGAGGCAACTAGTAATTTAGCATTGAAATAGCTAAGGGATTATCTTGTGACTGGTCACAGAAATAGATGTTAAAGTAAAGGCCTACACATCCACAGAGCTTTAATGAATGATGTTAAGATTCGTAGCGACTTTAAAGCTGGTTGGGAGAAGTGAGGCACCTTGACAAAGGGGTTTACATATCAAATAGCTGAGGGATTAGCTTGTGACTGGTCACAGGAATGGCTATGTTAAAGTCAAAACCTACACATCCACAGAGGCAACTAGTAATTTAGCATTGAAATAGCTAAGGGATTAGCTTGTGACTGGTCACGGAAATGGCTGTTAAAGTCAAAACCTACACATCCACAGAGGCAACTAGTAATTTAGCATTGAAATAGCTAAGGGATTAGCTTGTGACTGGTCACAGAAATAGATGTTAAAGTAAAGGCCTACACATCCACAGAGCTTCAATGAATGATGTTAAGATTCGTAGCGACTTTTAAGCTGGTTGGGAGAAGTGAGGCACCTTGACAAAGGGGTTTACATATCAAATAGCTGAGGGATTAGCTTGTGACTGGTCACAGGAATGGCTATGTTAAAGTCAAAACCTACACATCCACAGAGGCAACTAGTAATTTAGCATTGAAATAGCTAAGGGATTAGCTTGTGACTGGTCACGGAAATGGCTGTTAAAGTCAAAACCTACACATCCACAGAGGCAACTAGTAATTTAGCAATGAAATAGCTAAGGGATTATCTTGTGACTGGTCACAGAAATAGATGTTAAAGTCAAAGCCTACACATCCACAGAGGCATCTCGTACATGGACGCCAAAGAGGGCTGCAACAGCTCAACTGTCAAACAGTAAACCGATGTGAAAAACCTAATTCTAAATTACATCAATATAATAAATGTACTCAATATATTCTTCAATAAGCTGAGCTATTAACATTTACTGCGTATACACTACACAATATAATGAATACCATATAGTAAACCAATCAAAACTAAAAGCTCTGTGGATGTGTAGGTCTTTACTTTAACATCTATTTCTGTGACCAGTCACAAGCTAATCCCTTAGCTATTTCAATGCTAAATTACTAGTTGCCTCTGTGGATGTGTAGGTTTTGACTTTAACATAGCCATTTTCGTGACCAGTCACAAGCTAATCCCTCAGCTATTTGATATGTAAACCCCTTTGTCAAGGTGCCTCACTTCTCCCAACCAGCTTAAAAGTCGCTACGAATCTTAACATCATTCATTGAAGCTCTGTGGATGTGTAGGCCTTTACTTTAACATCTATTTCTGTGACCAGTCACAAGCTAATCCCTTAGCTATTTCAATGCTAAATTACTAGTTGCCTCTGTGGATGTGTAGGTTGACTTTAACAGCCATTTCCGTGACCAGTCACAAGCTAATCCCTTAGCTATTTCAATGCTAAATTACTAGTTGCCTCTGTGAATGTGTAGGTTTTGACTTTAACATAGCCATTCCTGTGACCAGTCACAAGCTAATCCCTCAGCTATTTGATATGTAAACCCCTTTGTCAAGGTGCCTCACTTCTCCCAACCAGCTTAAAAGTCGCTACGAATCTTAACATCGTTCATTGAAGCTCTGTCATCCCGACAGGTCTGTACCTTTCACCTGAAGACGGCCGCTTGCGTTGTGGCCGAAACGTCGTGACAATTTTATGGTGTTATTTTATTATTTTATTCTCATTCTACGTGACCTTACCGAAAGAACCAAAGAAGATTAATCCTTGCAGTCACGAAAGCTTTAAATCGAAAAATTGTTTCCCTTCTACGTGACTTTACCGAAAGAACCAAGAATAGTATACCAATGACTTGGCTTACACTGGGGAAGTTTAATTTAGTGGTATATCATTGCAATTAAATGTGGTGTCATCATCAGCCTTGATCATCTACTTCTAGATGAATGCCTCCATCTTATTTTTATTTAGCAAAACTTTCCAACCTTCTTTGTTAAGGTCTTCAATAATTTTGTGGGTAACTTGTCATCAACAAATATATGCATATTCTATATTTTTGTTGATTCTTTATTTCTCAAATCATGGAAAATGTTGATGACAGCTTTGGTGAGAGACAATTTTCTTGCAGGACACCTCTCCAATTTTAATGTTGCTGCTTTAATCCTGCCATCTAACTACAGCTCTTCTAAGGTATAATGTACAAGTCCACTTACAACGGTACCATCACATTAACCATGTTATTTGTAATCTAAATTATTTTTAAATCTTAAAACCAAAGATGACAGCTCTAGACCAGCAGTAAAAATCCCTGTGGTTTATGAACTGATTGCCTGAACAGAAAGAACATTACATCAAATATCAGATGCAAATTGACGAGAAAGCACCCAAACAAGTCAGCCTGGTCATTGCAAGGTGGTTAAACTGCCTGGCAGGAGCAACAATGGTGCTCGGTGTGCATATGGATCCTCACCAATCATGTCCCCCTGCTCATGGATCATGGTTCCCAGGTCCTTGAAGATCTGGTTGATGTCCATGATGTCAGCCTGGCAACCCATGAAATACCATCAGCTGCCGCTGGCCCACTTTCCTCTGCAAGGCCTCAGGAGATCTTCCATAACGATGTTTAGTTTTAGTTTGTTATTGCGTAAAACCAAGACAAAATTCACGTGTTTACTATTTCCAGTAAATAGCACAGGGTTAATTGGCTAATTGTATGCAATTAAAGCATGATATCTATGATATGTTAAAGGAAACATCCGTTACGGAGTTCCTGCATGATTGCAATAAGTTGGTGGAAATTTTTATTTTATTTTTATAAGATAAAAACCATGAGAAATTATAAAAAAAGCAATGTAAGAATCAGTGACCAGTGATCAAGCACCTCAAGCATTTGGATGGCCACCTCCCTCTCTTTGATCTCCTCCAGGTCCTCCTCTGTGATACCCTCATCCTGCGCCTGTGACTGCAGCGTGCGATCCTCAAACCTGCAAACATACACACGTGTATATTGGGGGTGTCACGTTGGCAAGATGTTAACTACCACGCCTGTTAAACAGGAGGCCGTGGGTTAAATCGCGTTGATTTTTCTCCGGGTCCTCCTCTTCCCTCCACATGTACAATCATGTGTTTAAGGAGTATTTGGCTGCAATACATTTCCATGTGATAAGCCATCTCATTAAGCTATAATGTGGCCAGGTCGCTTCTGAAGAGCTATACAGCTAGTGGGCCTCACCTGGTAAAATTAAAACATTTCCTAGTTTTTTTAATGTTTTGAATATGCATATATGAAGACAGGCACACACCGTACACACGGCCATATAAACAAGAATCGCATGCCACATGCAAGCATACAGAACATAAGCGTACACATAGACACGAGCTTACACATCCACATGAACACACACACGTGAACCCACACAACCATATAATCACACACACAATCGTACGCAAACGCGGGCAGACACGCACAACCACACAATCACATACAGTTTAACACGTAGGCTTTCGCGACCAATATTATTCATAATAAAGGTTTTTGGGTTAGATCGCGTTATTTATAAATGTGTCGTAACCCTCCACCACCCGACACGGCCAATCAGCAAAACAGTGTCACGTTGACAAAAGACAAATAGTTCACTACTTTCACCCACCGCTGTTTTGAAGAGTGAATCAACATCATTTACAGTTTGAGTACGACGTTTCGCTGGAAATTACATCCAGCATCATCGGGCAATTCGCCAGAATGGTAAAGCCCTCGCTTGTTCCCGGTCTTAAATAGAGCAGCACGGTGACGTCATTTAACTCATTTCAGGTGCAGTGATTTGAGGCGGAGGGATTGTAATTATATAATCGATTGGTAATCAGTCAATGGTTATGATTAGTAATGAGTTGTAGATTAGTAATTAGTCGTAATGTGTGTTATTGTGATTATATGCTACGTTAGTAATCCGTTAATTAGTATGTTTCCCCTATAAGGAATTGTAATATGTATTATTTAATAATAAGCTTCCAAGCCGCACTAAGCCTGGAGCTGTCAGAGCGATTAAAGTAATTTCTATTCTTCTCAATTTCAATGGATTCTCTAATTAGTCTTTGCCAGTAATAATTAGTTTTACACAACACTTCAACGTTATCAAAATCAATTGAGTGTCCTTGTTGACGAGCATGTTCTGCCACTGCCAACAGTTGTGTTTGAGATAATTTAATATTTCTTTGAAGTTCTTTTAGTCTTATGCTGATGTGACGTCCCGTCTGTCCAATATAGCATCTGCCACATAAACAATTAATCCGATATACACCTTCTGTTGATAATTTAGGTAATGCGTCTTTAGTGCAAGATACTAGTTTTTTAATTTTGTGTACTGTACCAAATCTTACTGTAATGTTTTGCTTTTGCAAAACACGGGCTAATTTGTCAGTTACTCCTGAGGTATATGGAATTTTTATTGTTTTCACAATGATAGCTTTCAGCAGTATTGCTTTGCGATCGTGATTTGGCATTCAGTGCTCTGATAATTTGAGCATTATTGTAGCCATTCTGTCTTAGTGCTTCTTTAACGTGTTTGATCTCTCTCACTAGACTTTCACCATATGACACTGTTTGAGCCCGATGTATTAGCATCTTGATAAGAGAGGATTTCTGAGCTGGATGATGATGCGAATCTGCATTCAGATAGGCATCAGTGTGCGTTTGCTTTCTGTAAACGCTGTGTGTTATTTTACCGTTTAGGCCATGTCCAAGCAAAATATCTAGGAATGGGAATGTGTTATTCACCTCCATTTCCATGGTGAACTGGATGGCCAGGTTTTGTGCATTGAGATGATTTAGAAAATAAAAGCTAACCAAATACTACACAAAGCTAGCGAATTATTATTAAGAGAGAATACAGCACAACAGGAGTGAATTATCTTACATTTTGGAATCGCTAAAGCAGTTACACTTAGATATAAGCAATAGTGTATCCATGCATTATTGGAATATAATCGATACCATAACACAACAATCGGCTGATAATGTGTTTAATCTAACAAAAACTAACCAAATGAATACATTTTCTAGACTTCATAATAAACAAATCCCTACTAAAAACGAACAATTTAAAAACAAAACCGTAATGACCTCAACTAACACTGTTTTAACCAGTGACATGATCTCTGTCCTTTCTAAAGGCCTTAACTTTGCCGTTACCCCACGCACAATTCCAGTGGATGAGATAATTGCTGAGGTAGAATCAGCAGTAAGACTCCTTCCACATAATGAGGCAGAGGTGACTAGACACGAGGTTGCCAAAATAATTGAGAATAGCAGTTCCAAAAGTAAATATTAGCTCTAACGAAGCAAAAGCCTTAAGAGAGCTGCGTGTAAATAAGGATATCCAAATCCTGGCAGCTGATAAAGGCCGCACTACTGTAGTGATGTCACGAGCCGATTATGATAATAAAATTAGAAATTTACTAGAGGAAAGTAGTACCTACATTAAAATTAAACGAGATCCAACTAATACTTTAGAACGTAAGACTACTGCAATAATTGCAAATGCATTAATCCCTAAGAATGAACAATACCAAATTAAGCCAAGGGCCTCAAAACCACCTAGACTGTATGGGCTACCAAAGATTCATAAAATCGGCATTCCATTACGACCCATAGTCAGTACAATTGGCTCTGCCACGTATAAATTTGCAAAATATATAACTAAACAAATACAGCCCTACATCGGTAGGACATCTTCATTCATAAGAAATTCAGAACATCTTGTGAATGTGATTAAAGATATTAAACTTAATCCTAATATTCTGGTAAGTTTTGATGTGATTTCTCCATTCACTAAGGTTCCAGTGAACGAATCGCTTAAATTACTTGATACACTAGTAAAGAATACAGGTTTACCAAAAGATATTCCGAAACTCGCTGACCATTGTTTAAATAACACTTACTTCTTATGGAGGGGATTTCATTAAACAAAAGGAGCAGCAATGGGCTCTCCTTTATCCCCTGCTATAGCAAATTTGTACATGGAAAACTTTGAAATAAGAGCACTTGCCTCGAGCACATTAAAACCATCTTTTTGGTTTAGATATGTGGATGACACTTTGGTTGTCTGGCCACATGGTAAAGATACACTTAATGATTTTCTAAATCATCTCAATGCACAAAACCCGGCCATCCAGTTCACCATGGAAATGGAGGTGAATAACACACTCCCGTTCCTAGATATTTTGCTTGGACATGGCCTAAATGGTAAAATAACACAGCGTTTACAGAAAGCAAACGCACACTGATGCCTATCTGAATGCAGATTCGCATAATCATCCTGCTCAGAAATCCTCTCTTATCAAGACGCTCATACATCGGGCTCAAACAGTGTCAGATGGTGAAAGTCTAGTGAGAGAGATCAAACACGTTAAAGAAGCACTAAGACAGAATGACTACAATAATGCTCAAATTAACAGAGCACTGAATGCCAAATCACGATCGCAAAGCAATACTGCTGAAAGCGATCAGATTGTTAAAACAATAAAAATGGCATATCTCAGGAGTAACTGACAAATTAGCCCGTGTTTTGCAAAAGCAAAACATTACAGTAAGATTTGGTACAGTACACAAAATTAAAAAAACTAGTATCTTGCACTAAAGACGCATTACCTAAATTATCAACAGAAGGTGTATATCGGATTAATTGTTTATGTGGCAGATGCTATATTGGACAGACAGGACGTAACATCAGCATAAGACTAAACGAACATCAAAGAAATATTAAATTATCTCAAACACAACTGTCGGTAGTGGCAGAACATGCTTGTCAACAAGGACACTCAATTGATTTTGATAACGTTGAAGTGTTGTGTAAAACTAATTATTACTGGCAAAGACTAATTAGAGAATCCATTGAAATTGAGAGGAATAGAAATAAATGTAATCGCTCTGACAGCTACAGGCTTAGTGCGGCTTGGAAGCGTATTATTAAATAATACATATTATAATTCCTTATAGGGGAAACACATACTAATTAACGGATTACTAACGTAGCATATAATGACAATAACACACATTACAACTAATTACTAATCTACAACTCATTACTAATCATAACCATTGACTGATTACCAATCGATTATATAATTACAATCCCCCCCCCCTCCGCCTCAAATCACTGCACCTGAAATGAGTTAAATGACGTCACCGTGCTGCTGCTCTATTTAAGACCGGGAACAAGCGAGGGCTTCACCATTCTGGCGAATTGCCCGATGATGCTGGATGTAATTACCAGCGAAACGTCGTACTCAAACTGTAAATGTTGTGGATTCACTATTCAATACACCGGTGGGTGAAAGTAGTGAACTATTTGTCTTTTGTCAACGTGACACTTTTTTGCTGATTGGCCGTGTCGGGTGGTGGAGGGTTACGACACATTTATAAATAACGCGATCTAACCAAAAAACCTTTATTATGAACAATCACATACACTTCGGCATTCAGACATTTGGTCTAGAGCAGGTAAGCCACATGGCTTACCTGCTCTAGACCAATTCCTCGACCACATCAACTCCATACACCCAGCCATCAGATTTACCATGGAGGTCGAAAAAGGCAAGCTACCCTTTTTGGATGTCTTAATTAAAAGTATTTTATTGTCTTATTTTGTTTTATTGTTTTATTCTCATTCTACGTGACTTTACCGAAAGAACCAAGAAGATGAACATAGTTATTGTTTAACCACGTATAAAAGGGGTGTAGATGTTGTTCTCTCTTGATCATTTCTTCAATCAGTTGACTTGCTGATGTTTCGATCACATGGGCACCAGGCTACTAACCCTTAAATAGTGATGAGCTGATAATAATGAAACGTTTTTTTTCTAGTTGTCAAGCACAGGCTGAAAAGGCCCAAAATGTAAAGTGGCCAGTGACACACAGCATGTGTCTTGAATGAAGTAAGGTTATAACTTGGGAAAAGACCACGAGAAAGAAATCAGCAGTTAATCCACAATCTGCTTTAACTAACCAAACAAATTAGAGTTAACAGTACAGTGGTCCCTCGGTTAACGATATTAATTGGTGCCACGAAAACCACCGTTAAATGAAATTATCGTTCATCGAATATAGGAAAGTGTTCAAGGCTTGATTTGTTCCAAGACGATGGGAAGTCGACCTTTTCCACCCTAAAAACATAGTTTATCATTTAAACATGCTATTTAATTAAAAACACGTTATAAGAACATATTAAAGCATTATTATTAATAAAAACATGGATAAATAATTAATAGAGCATGAAAAGGTGCATAGAGCGTAAAATATACAGTGAGGGAAAAAAGTATTTGATCCCCTGCTGATTTTGTACGTTTGCCCACTGACAAAGAAATTATCAGTCTATAATTTTAATGGTAGGTTTATTTGAACAGTGAGAGCCAGAATAACAAGAAAATCCAGAAAAACGCATGTCAAAAATATTATAAATTGATTTGCATTTTTATGAGGGGAATAAGTATTTGACCCCCTCTCAATCAGAAAGATTTCTGGCTCCCAGGTGTCTTTTATACAGGTAACGAGCTGAGATTATGAGCACACTCTTAAAGGGAGTGCTCCTAATCTCAGCTTGTTACCTGTATAAAAGACACCTGTCCACAGAAGCAATCAATCAATCAGATTCCAAACTCTCCACCATGGCCAAGACCAAAGAGCTCTCCAAGGATGTCAGGGACAAGATTGTAGACCTACACAAGGCTGGAATGGGCTACAAGACCATTGCCAAGCAGCTTGGTGAGGTGACAACAGTTGGTGCGATTATTCGCAAATGTAAGAAACACAAAAGAACTGTCAATAATCTCCCTCGGCCTGGGGCTCCATGCAAGATCTCACCTCGTGGAGTTGCAATGATCATGAGAACGGTGAGGAATCAGCCCAGAACTACACGGGAGGATCTTGTCAATGATCAAGGCAGCTGGGACCATAGTCACCAAGAAAACAATTGGTAACACACTACGCCGTGAAGGACTGAAATACTGCAGCGCCCGCAAGGTCCCCCTGCTCAGGAAAGCACATATATATGCCCGTCTGAAGTTTTCCAATGAACATCTGAATGATTCAGAGGACAACTGGGTGAAAGTGTTGTGGTCAGATGAGACTAAAATGGAGCTCTTTGGCATCAACTCAACTCACCATGTTTGGAGGAGGAATGCTGCCTATGACCCCAAGAACACTATCCCCACCGTCAAACATGGAGGTGGAAACATTATGCTTTGGGGGTGTTTTTCTGCTAAGGAAACAGGACAAATTCACCGCATAAAATAGACGATGGACGGGGCCCATGTACCGTCAAATCTTGGGTAAGAACCTCAGCCAGGGCATTGAAAATGGGTCGTGGATGGGTATTCCAGCATGACAATGACCCAAAACACAACCAAGGCAATAAAGGAGTGGCTCAAGAAGCACATTAAGGTCCTGGAGTAGCCTAGCCAGTCTCCAGACCTTAATCCCATAGAAAATCTGTGGAGGGAGCTGAAGGTTCGAGTTGCCAAACGTCAGCCTCAAAACCTTAATGACTTGGAGATGCTGTGCAAAGAGGAGTGGGACAAAATTCCTCCTGAGATGTGTGCAAACCTGGTGGCCAACTACAAGAAACGTCTAGCCTCTGTGATTGCCAACAAGGGTTTTGCCACCAAGTACTAAGTCATGTTTTGCAGAGGGGTCAAATATTTATTTCCCTCATTAAAATGCAAATCAATTCATAACATTTTTGACATGCGTTTTTCTGGATTTTTTTGTTGTTATTCTGTCTCTCAATGTTCAAATAAACCTACCATTAAAATTATAGACTGCTAATTTCTTTGTCAGTGGGCAAACGTACAAAATCAGCAGGGGATCAAATACTTTTTTCCCCTCACTGTAAATTCTTACCTTAGGCTAAGATGGATGCTTAATTTGCACACTAATTTATTTCCTCACTTTGTATTTCTTCATTCCTTTTAGGGGCCACTGTTATTGATTTCATTTCACTTAAGTAAAAAAAACACGAAGTATTCAAGAGCTGTTTCCATAAGCAATGCACATCAAACACTCATAAGCAATGCACATCAAACACTCATAAAAAGGCCGTCGCTGATTAGCCGAGGTCTGCTGAGTCCACTTAGGAGCACTCCGATTGGCCGAAATCGGCGGCCGCGTGATATTGTAAACATCGATAATCGAAATGTATCATTAATAGAGACAATGGGACCCTATGGGAGGCGGATCATTTATCGATGGCATCGTAAACCGAGGAACCACTGTATTATGGCTGTCATGTGCACGTGCTCCAAAACACAGCACTCGGTGTGGCTGCAAGCGCTGCTGCCGTGACCAGCCAGGAGGCGGAAGGAGTGCAACCTGTGCCCAACACACACGCCAACCTTTGGATCCTCACCGAGAGCCGAACAGAATTAGACAATATCTGTTTGTGTGTCGAGTTAGGCTTCTCTTGCATGTGTTTGCTTTAATACACTGCATCCCACTTCAAAGATAGCTGTGGAAAACGCACCTAAACCGCGGGAAAATATGATCATGCGTAAAGCCCGGCTTGAGCGGCAAGTTTGTGCATCTGCAACATCGTACTGTGCGGAAACACAAACCATAGTATTTATTATCAGAGACAACGAAAATAGAAGACAATGGAAGTGAAAGACAGAGGTTATCTATCATGATTTAATATTTATTTTTCATAGAATGTTGTGCAGGTCATGTAATGCTAATCTAATAGATAACACTCAACTGTTCAATTGGGAGATGACAAAAGAGTTTGCCAATTATTTTTCTGGCCTGCAGTGAAGCTGCCAAACATTGTACAAGCTACAGCATATATCTACATGGCTGGCAGCGATTTTACTAAACACATCTGCACAAAGAAACCACATGTAATTCTTATACTGTACCACCCACACATCTAGCATATAGCAAGCACAAACATTACTCCACTTCATTTAATTCCTTATGAACAATATTGATCCCTTATAAATTCTCCTCCACTATTAAAAAATCCACTAGCATTTGAAGCTAAAATGTTACATTGTCTTAAGTTTTCGTCTTGAAAAAATATTCCCACCACTTCAGATTTCACTAAACAGAACCAGTTATGTCTGTGCTTTAAATCACCACTAAGGCAACACAACAGCAGGGCTTACTGTTCAGCACAAAGTTCCAAGGAACATTACCACGAATGTGCTTCATTCTTTTTCATGACATTTATGTAAAAACACCCATGGATGCGAGCTGGAAGAAGCAGCGCCCAACATAATTCCAACTGCTCGCTCACGCACGAGCTAGCCCAGTGCTCGCTTCTCAAAGACCTCGGATGGCTTCAAAGTGCCGTCCCTTCCAGATGGCTGTGTTTATGAATTATTCTGAGCAGGGCGTTAGCAAAACCAAAACCAGACACGAAGGCCGATCGACGCGGAGCACTCCACACAAGGCGGTGGTGGGTGGTAGCGCACCCCTGCCTCCATTATTCCCATTTTACAAAAAGCAAAGAAAGAAAAAAAATACAGAACAAATATTTATGTACATAGCACGTCACTGTGCGGTTGGGTGCATTACGTTAATGTTCCCTTAATGTGTGGTCTAGGAACGAAAGTTTGGTTTACATACAAGTTGTGTTTATAGTTTACGTGTTATCAACAGCATTACTGAAACAGTCTCGGACATTGTGTTCATTATGGGCCACATCCCTTTCACGATGTCAAGAGTGGTCTTGTGATGCACGGTGTGCTGCTGCAGCTGACACAGCTGGGCCATGCACACACATGCCTTTATATAGAGGAAGCAGTGTAATCGTTATATTGCAAAGTAGATTGCCACAGCAATATGTGCATGCTCGTGCAGTGGCGTACAATGCAGCTGGCTGCATATGCTTGCAATTTTAAAGAGAGTTCCCCAATGGGTGTAATTTTCTGCTGACGGGTCTGCACTCACCCTTCCCCGACATTCACCAGGTGTCCATCCCGTGTTGCAGTTTCGTCCAAATAGTTTCCCTGAGCCACACGGGAGGAAGGGGGCAAAGATGGCATCGCTCATGACGAATTGGCAACATTGGATCCCAACCGCTGCCCTTAAAGCTTACTCTCTCACTTGCCCATAGAGTGCGGAGTGGCGCTATAAACACCACCTCCCTGCTCCCTCTGCAGGGACTGCACTGCTCCAGAAATGACATCTTTTAACCATGGTACTTTGCACACACCGCTTTAACACAGCAACGGGTTTCAAGTAGCTGATAATGAAGCATCGTCACCACTCAGTGTTATTGCCGAGGGAATCTAAGAAACAGTGTAAGCAATCTAAAGTCTACAGATTCAGTTTTATATCATAATTTATAATAAGAATATAAAATTATTCATTTAAAATGTTGTGCAGGACGTTAAGTTAATCAGTTTGTATTTTTTCAATGTTAAACTACTTTTTCTTGTTTCACATGACTTATGATTTTGGATTAAAATTGTATCAAATCACTTGCTTAAGTGAATGACTTAAAATATAATTCTATGCTGCCCATGATGCACAAGTACACACAAGAAAACATTCAGCACCATCAACACTGCTTTGTGACAGAACACCATAATGTAGACTAAAGATGATTTTATTTAAACAGAGCCTGAAAGGAAGTCAAGAGTCATGTCAAAATGATGGACTGCTCAAATTAATATTGACGCAGTGGACATCTCCTGTTTACATCACTCAGCCAGTGGCAAAAATTCCATGTTCCAATGGCAGGGACAAGTGTCTCCATAGGATGAAAATAAAATGCAACCCAAACAAATAATAGCGACAGTGTGCCAGACTGTCCGACAATTGCAATCAGTCTGAAGCTTCATTTGCGATAAAAAAAAAACAGTTCTAGCCATTAACACCACCACTGCCCTCTACTGTCACCATCACTACACTGACAAACTTGCATGGGAGCAATGTCAGTGACATGCCCAACTTTTAATTATTTTTTCACATGAACAATACTTTGGGCATGTGCTTAGATAGGACAGAATGCAGAGCTAAGTGATACATCTGCAAAGTATAATTGTGTTCTGAGATGTCGTCCTTTAAGAATAACATTCGGAAAGCATGGACGCTTGTATGTGGGTGTGGGGTATGTAGATTGCAGGCATGCAGTTGTGTATATTGCGCATGTGTGAATAGTGCATATCTGCAAGGATCATGATTTGATTCCAGAACCAACGGGTTTTTTTTTACAACTATGGTGAAAGTGTACTTCTGGTGACTGCATGGTTTACCTAAACCGATGACATACAACGTATAAACCAATAGTAGATGTTTACACTCGTGATTTGATGCCTGCATCATACATATCGTTACACATCTACTTTACATTTGTATAACACAGGTGTGATTATACGGTTTTGACGTGGTCTCTTTCACTCCGATGTAACCCCGTCATAGTGAGTGCAACCTTGGAGTCATCATCGCACTCGAGCTCTCCTTCTCCTCTAACAAATCCCAGTTCTTCTTCTTTGGTTCTTTCGGTAAAGTCACGTAGAATGAGAATAAAATAATAAATTGATAAAATAAAATAACACAATAATATTCTCACGACGTTTCGGCCACAACACAAGCGGCCTTCATCAGGTGAAGGGACGAGACTGTCTGGAGGACAGCGCTGGAGTGAGAAAGCCAAGCTCAGACCGCGACCTTTAAGCTGTGTGAGAAGAAACAGAGCGCCTTGACAAAGGAATTAGCATAGAATTTAGCATTGAAATAGCTGAGTGTTTAGCTTGTCACTGGTCACAGAAATGGCTATGTTAAAGTCAAAGCATACACATCCACAGAGGCACCCCTTGACAAAGTAATTAGCATAGAATTTAGCATTGAAATAGCTGAGTGATTAGCTTGTGACTGGTCACAGAAATGGCTATGTTAAAGTCAAAGCATACACATCCACAGAATAAATGTACTCAATATATTCTTCAATATGCTGAGCTATTAACAGTAACTGGGTATACACTACACTATATAATGAATACTATATAGTAAACCAATAAAAAAACTAAAATATAAATTACCTCAATGTTATCAATAAACTCTATATATTCTCCAATCAGCTAAGCTACCAACAATAAGTCGTTATATATCACAATGCTATAGAGTTTGTTGATAACATTGAGGTCATATTCTTAGTTTTTTCGGTAAAGTCACGTTGAAGAGAAACAACAAAATAACAAAATATATATAAAACAATAAAAAATTCTCACGACGTTTCGACCATAACTCAAACGATCATCAGGTGTGTCGGTTAGGGTTAGGGTTAGATAGAGTTATGGTCGAAACGTCGTGAGAATTTTTTATTGTTTTATATATATTTTGTTATTTTGTTGTTTCTCTTCAACGTGACTTTACCGAAAAAACTAAGAATATGAATTAATGCAGTCACGAAAGCTTTCAATCAAAACATTGAGGTCATTTATATTTTAGTTTTTTATTGGTTTACTATATAGTATTCATTATATAGTGTAGTGTATACCCAGTTACTGTTAATAGCTCAGCTTATTGAAGAATATATTGAGTACATTTATTCTGTAGATGTGTATGCTTTGACTTTAACATAGCCATTTCTGTGACCAGTCACAAGCTATCACTCAGCTATTTCAATGCTAAATTCTATGCTAATTCCTTTGTCAAGGGGTGCCTCTGTGGATGTGTATGCTTTGACTTTAACATAGCCATTTCTGTGACCAGTGACAAGCTAAACACTCAGCTATTTCAATGCTAAATTCTATGCTAATTCCTTTGTCAAGGCGCTCTGTTTCTTCTCACACAGCTTAAAGGTCGCGGTCTGAGCTTGGCTGTGTTCGCTCCAGCGCTGTCCTCCAGACAGCCTCGTCCCTTCACCTGATGAAGGCCGCTTGTGTTGTGGCCGAAACGTCATGGGAATTTTATTGTGTTATTTTATTTTATCAATTTATTATTTTATTCTCATTCTACGTGACTTAACCAAAAGAACCAAAGAAGATGAATCCTTGCAGTCACGAAAGCTTTAAATCGAAATCCCAGTTCTGCCAAATCCCCTAACCTCTAAATGCGCAACATTTCCTATTTGGACGTTCCTTTTCCCATATTCTTTGTTCTTTCGGTAAAGTCACGTAGATAGACAATAAAAATAACAGATAATAAAATAAAACAAATAAAAAATGTAAAATAATAAAAAATAAAAAACCCATGACGTTTCGATCGCAACACAAGCGGTCTTCATCAGGCAGAGAGAAAAGAGGGGGCAAGCCTCCAAATGCAACTGCCTATAAAAGCTTTCAAAATGGGCGGGGCAGCCAGCTCAAATGTAGGAGACAATTGGGGGAGGGAGGGGGCAGAGACAGGGGGAGAGAGGGGCGGGGTAGAGATAGAGGTGCAGCTGAAGGCAAGGGTGCAGTCCAAGTGTGTTAGACAATGGGGGGAAGAAGAGGGTAGAGATACGGGGAAGAGAGAAGGGGGGGGTTGAGATAGGAGAGAGGAGGTACAAGTAGTGCGTTAGACAATGAGGGGAGGGAGGGGGCAGAGACAGGGGGAGAGAGGGGGGGTACAAGTAGTGCGTTAGACAATGGGGGGAGGAAGAGGGTAGAGATAGGGGGGAGAGAGAGAGAGGTGGGAACAAGTAGCGCATTAGACAATGGAGTGCGTTAGACAATGGGGGGAGGGGGGGCAAAGACAGGGGGAGAGAGAGGGGGGGTTGAGATAGAGGTGGAGCTGAAGGCGAGGGCGCAGTCCAAGTGTGTTAGACAATGGGGGGAGGAAGAGGGTAGAGATAGGGGGGGAGAGAAAGGGGGAGGGTAGAGATAGGGGGAGAGAGGGGGGTAGAGATAGGGGGGGGGGGGGCATTGCACATTGCTACACCCATCCACACTGACGGTAGAGGTTGACAAGAAAACACAAATCAAGTCATGACCCAAAGTGGTTAGTGACATCTTTCCAATGATGCCGAGTTTAAAACCGTCGTCTCGGTTGAAATTGTGTCCTTGTCTGTATATATGGATGGCTTTGTTAACGAATCTTTGTTGATAGCCATTCGGCTTGCAAAGTACAATCGTCTTCGACAAATAAATTTCGTGCGAGCCAGCCGCATTAAAGTAATGATCAGCCATGTTAGAAGTATTGGTCCTGCCGTATTTCAGATCTGCCTTATGATCACGAACACGGTCCGAGACATGTCGTTTAGTTTCCCCAATGTAACTGCTGCCGCAAATACAGCTTAGTTTGTAGATGCCGGGATATTGCATGCCAGGAATCTTGTCCTTCACAGATGGGATCAGATCACAAATTTCATGCACTGTGTTAAATCGGACCTGGATCTTGTGTTTGTTCAAGATTTTGGAAATCTTTTTGGTTATCCGTGCTATGTAACGCAAGGTGATGGTTTTGATTGGATGTTCACATTTCTCCTTCCTCACAGTTGGGGTGATGGCTTTGCGGATTGTGTAGTCAGAATATCCATTCGCCTTGAGAGCCTGGTTTTTGAGTTCACTGGTCAGGTTTTCATGGACGGAGATACATTGAGCTCTATGGCGTAGCGTTTTGATGACAATTTTTCTGGGATGGATGGTGGTGGGAATCAGGTTTTAGGTAGGCGTCAGTATGGGTTACTTTCCTGTAGACAGAGTGGCTCAATGAGCCATCTGGTCTCTTTTTGATTAGGACATGCAAGAAAGGTAGCATGCCATCCTTTTCTTCCTCCATGGTGAATTTGATTGCTGGGTGTATGGAATTGATGTGGTTGAGGAATTGTTTCAGAGCCGGTCGGCCATGTGGCCAGATGACAAACGTGTCATCCACGTATCTCTTCCACAAGGACGGGCATAGAGTGGAAGCCTGGATGGCGTCCATCTAAAACCTTTCCATGAAAATGTTTGTTTGTCGAATGTTCCATTCCAGGTCAAGTATGTATTGGTGAGGCAGTCTCACCAGGGATGGTACATCAGCATTCAGTCCTTGTTGGACCAAATCTTCAATTATTGCAATGGTATCGGGCACAGGAACTTTGGAGCAAATCACCTGGGGACAGTGAGATGTCTTTAATTGACAATACCAGGTGAGCTGAGTTAAGTACAGAAGAGGTGGTCTTACCAGTGAATGGCTGCAACGTCTCGGACAGATATCGGGCCAGTTTGTAGGTGGGTGAGCCAATGGTGGAGACGATGGAGCGAAGGGGTGGGTGTACCTTCTTTATGGATTTTTGGTAAGCCATATAATCTGGGTGGTCTAGCAGCAGAAGGTTTTAAGGAGAACCGTTTGGTCTGTTCAATTAATGAAGCTGAATCAATGATGATACTGTTAGTTTTTGTAACAAGGCTGTTGGTGGGATCTCTTTTAATTTTTGTGAAGCTACCATCATTAAGTAGGTCCTGAATTTTGTTATTGTACATGTTTTTGTCCATGATAAACGTGGCATTGCCCTTGTCGGCTGAGAGGATGACGATATCTTTCCTCTTTTTTTAATTGAGATAACTCAAAGCGCTCCTCCTTACTACTGATGTTGCTGACTGGTATTTTAGCACTTGAGGGTTGCAGCGATTTCAGATCTTGTTACGTCTGTAGCGATGTGTCCCAAACCTTTAAGAGCTACATCGACGTGAGCAATAATGTCATCCACTGGTATGTGTTTGGGGGTGACTGCGAAGTTCAAATCCTTTAGCCAAAACCGACTTTAGACCATCAGAAATTGGGCTAATACTCAGATTAATAACAATCTTGTCAACTTTCGATTTAAAGCTTTCGTGACTGCAGGGATTCATATTCTTGGTTGTTTCGGTAAAGTCATATAGAAAGGGAAATAATAAAAAATGGAAAAAATAAATAGGAAAAACCGCCACTTTTTTTTCAAAATTTTCTTGCTGTGGTTTTCACACCTAATGATGATTACTTGTGTTGCAATCGAAACGTCGTGAGAATTTTATTGTTGTATTTTTATTATTTTATTATTTCCCTTCTACGTGACTTTACCGAAAGAACCAAGAATATGAACCTTGTCAACATCTAACTTTTTAATGTGTGGATCTGGTTTCTTCTTGGAAAGGAGGTTGAATTGGGAAATCAGATTATCTTCACATTTAGCTGACATTGTAGTGGCTGATGAAGCGGTCAGGTTATCTACATGTTCCCAATCAGATGTAGACATTTTTTCTGTCTATGTTAAGTGTGATTTTAAGAGTGTCTTGTCTACATGATCCAGTTCAGTGCGGAGCAGTCTAATTCTCGAGATCAGGGCCAAGCTCATCTGTTGCCGAGCCCCTCATCCAATTCCTCCACTGGCTTCCAATCCAATCTAAGCTAACTACAAACTCACTCTCACCAATCTAGATTGTAAGTTTTCGTGACTGCAGGGATCCACACTCTTTGGTTCTTTTGGTACAGTCACTTAGGTATTTATACCTACGTGACTTATACTTACGTGACTTTACCGAAAGAACCACAGTATCACTCTCACCATTTTCAAGACCCTTCATAGATTTACTCAAGCCAACTTCTCCCTTTTAATTCTTCTGAATTCCACCCCTTCACACATTCACTGCTCAAGGAACTAATGCCTTCTGGCAAAAACCTCAAATGCCTACTGCTTCTGGCACAATGGTCTGAAATTCCCTACCCATGGGAATTCATGCTGCCTACTCCCTGCCCCTCTTAAAGTCCCGTTTCAATACTTTCATCTTCTTCACTGCCATTGACCATTTCCTGTTAAAAAAATAATTTCAATCGTACCTTACTTACAAAATATAAATTTCTCCATTTTTGCAGCTGTGATGCACGTCCCACTCTTTCTACAATGTATTGCAATGTATCTGCACTGTAGGAGTGAGAGTGTGGGGGCAATGAAATGGGCATGCATTGGGCCATGTGGCTGATGGTCTCACCCCCTGGGACTGCCGTGAGTTGGCACGGGCACGCGCCACGCTCTCGCGCTCCCGCTCAGCAGCGCGTCGCTGAGTTGTCTGGAAGTTGTTTAGCGCCGTTGAGAACTCGTTCATCAAACGATCCCGCTGGATCTTCCTGTGCCGCTGTGTGCCAAGCGAGGATGACATGACCACCGTAATCATTGATATCCGTGTCAACTTTCCATAACTCAATTTCCGATTAACATATCCTCATTGTCTTTTTTTATATTTTCTTATTAAACGATAATTCCAGTAAGCAGCTAAGGCATAGCGCCTGCTTTAATATAAATCCCGGCAAAAATCTGGTCCTATACACAGCAATATGCCAGCACAATAATCCATATCCGTATAATTAAAAAAACACAGTGCATCCATCCAGCGGTATAAATAGGTAAACAAGTAAGTTGACAGACAGAATGTGTGAGGTGGAGGAGTAAAATGTGGGTATTCCTACATCTTACAAAATATCTAATTAGCATGGAAGAGTTGACCAAAAACCCTACACAGCTTTCTCGTGGAAGCCCTTCCACCAGCAGTGGTGTGAGCATGCAATTGCATGGGTGCATCTTTGATCTTTTTTAAAGTGTACCATTAGGTCTTATATTGGAATATAAACATGCAAGAATAAGGAACAAAGTGTTTGCTTGACTGAAACAGTGCAAGTGCTCAGTCGGTTATCTATGACAGGAGCCGTGATACCTTACCTGCTCAGACTGGCTCGATGGTGTAGGCAATGAGCCCAGGTCCTTTAAGTATTTATTGGTTTCTTTAGCAAGTTGGTTTGTGCTTTGTTGCAGCTGTTGCCTGCAAAAAAATTAAGGTTTTTAACCTGTAGTTTCACATTTCTATTGCACTGATGAACGTATGAGAAATTAATGCTTCAAAGAAATCTGACACCAACATGTTTCATGTAAAAAAACTTTATGAAAATATGAAAGCTGAGATAAATATTATGCATGTACAATTGTTTTACCAATGACCGTGCAATTAAAGGAAAACTGTACTAAAAAACAGACATCTCTTCTTGGCATGTACCGATGCTGTGTTCATGGGTGAGGCGTTAATGAACAAGACTTTTAAGTGAGGGTGATGTCAAAGTGTTCTAGAAACATCACTGCATTGACGCTGTATTAAAAGTAAGTATTATACTTGTTTACACAGGAATGCCTGACCGAGTCTCAATACTCTTTCTGGAAGGTCCTATGTTTTCATAGAGGCAGTGACGTATGTTGTTTCTCGATTAATGAACTTGCAAATACTTTTTAGAATGTGGCAAATTTGGACCATGATGTTGGCACACAAAGGCCGACTGTACTTCGAATTATGTCACAGAATCTTTAATTTTCACTAGGAAGAGGGCGGTGCATATTTTATGCAGGGTTGTTCAAATCATCTGATTATCAGAGCAAGTAATATTCTCAAAACGGTTACCAGTTATCATTAAACAAACGTCATTTAACGGATAACACACATGCAGTATTAACCAGGGCAGCCTGTCAGATTCGAAATGTGAACATCTGGAACTAGCGGTAAGAGCGCTACCACTCAGCCAAGTCACCACCAATAAGGGAGTAACATAACTAGAGTTCTAAAATGATGTGCTTGACAATGAATTTAAATACTCTTCTCACAAACGATGGTTAAAATTGCAGCAGACAACCCTTTGTTATGCTATGTCTCCTCTACATCTGCACAATATGTTCAGTAGTTATAATAGTGACTATATTGAGTAGGCCACATTCAATACACAATCACTGTGACCAGAGAAAGAGGTACGCACAGACGCTCTAACAGCTGCGTGGTATCTTGTGCTGTCCCCAGCTGACTGACCAGCTTCTGGATCTGAGCAGCTGTCACACACAAAGAGGAAGAAAAACAAAAACAAAACATTAAACACAAAACACAGCCCAAGAAACAAACATCGTAAGTAAATGTATCCAATCTGTGTCCCGCGGTGTTAGACAGTAGGTTAATTTTTCAATAGCGACAAAAATGGATTTGTAAGTGAATTGAAGGTATGCCACCTTAGCCTGCTATAGTGATGTCACGATGATGAGATGATATTGGATTAAAATGTGCAGCAATTGTGCTGCAAAGGCATCACTGAGGCATAGACGGTGGCAAACCTTCATGACATGTTAGTCGTATTTCTCTTTGTAAAAAGATTCCAACTCAAGCTGAACACCTGAGGACACAGCCTAGGTAGAAAACCGATTATTTAGGCTGGAAACTCCTATAATTAACATATCTTTGTAACCAAACCCAGATGAAAATCTGAGCGGCAGACGCAGACAAGTCAAAGTGGGTCTATGAAGGAAGCAGTCACATATCAGAGTGGTGAGATGTGCAGACAATGTGCAGCGACACCCACTGTTCTGCGAGATCTTCTGGATGTTGGTGCTGATGATCTGGGCGAGTCCGCTGAAATCCAGGTCGCCATTGGTGGCCTGACGGTACGAGGTGTAACCCCCATCGCTGCCTGGAAATCCGAATGACATAGCTGGGGAATGGAGAGCTGGGAGAGGGGGCGTCGGTTGCAGTGTTAACTGTCGTCCTGTCAAAAGTAGCACTGTCATGCAGAACAACTTACTTCAGCCATGCCATTTCAGCAGGTCCCCTTCTTCAGACCACAGCTCCCAAAAAGGGTTAACAATTGATTTATTTTCTATTTTCCTAAGTACTCTATATTTATCATTATCGAGTAAAGTCATATCATACATACAAACAATTTAATTCACACCTCTTGCAGCTATCAGTGTACCGTGTAGTATCAGAACACAACACCAAAGAAATGGGTCAAAGAAATCCGTGGTGATCAAAAAGTCTGGGCAGGTAATAAAAGAAACCATCAAACCCTGAATGAACCGACACTGGAAATAACCCACGTGGTAAAGAAACACAGCCAGAAGAAGTGTGCCTCAGAATATGTGAGCTCGTGTTAGGTTTTGGTTGGACACAATAAACCCATTTTCAGAAATTACTGTGCAAGACCACTTTTCAGCACCCCGTATTTCTTCAATCACTTCAAAAGGCCTCATCAAGTGTTTGCATGTCAAACCAAAATGCTCGTCAGTGATGATCTGATGTGGAATTCTCACCATAAATCAGCTAGCATACGTACAGTGCGGCTATACAGAGCCAGATTGTAAATGTTGTGGCTTGGCTCTCAAACACACCGGTGTGCTGTACTAGTGACTAATTGGCACGTTCTGTTTACGTGACAACCCTTACTAGTTGGCTGTGTCGGGTGGTGGCGGGTTTTAACGACACATTAATATATTTACGCGATCGAACCCAAAAACCTCTATTACGGATACACATATAGCCACCTCACATTGGCTTTATAGTATCTAATGTTACACTGTAGATCGTATACTATATGTTGCTTAAACAATTGGATGAAGTCCTCAGCGCAATGCGAGCTGTGGAAGAAACATTTCAGAGAATGTTGTCTTTGCCCAAAACTCGCGGCTACTGTAAACACGTAGAATACTGTACCGTAATGTACCAGTGAACAAGCTGGGTTGAGCGATGACATCAACTTTACTGAGGGCATGAGGATCTGGGAGGAGGGCCGTGAGAGTGTCAACCAGGATACACACCACTCCGAACCATGACGACGGCTCGCGCGCACTTGCGAAATTTAACACGCAAGCACTTTTACTCTTAACAGCGGCAAACCAAATGCCGTGTTAAACAAAAGTGCTTTACAGTACTGTATAACACAACCACGGACGCCAGGTGGCAGCCTTTCACCGTTTGTCATTGAATCAACACAAGCAACGATTAGCCATGTCGTATATTGCGAGTAATTGTACCAACAGCGTGTACAGTACTACGTTAAATGACTGGAAATCCTTTTTTATGCTTCGTATTTCATCTCTCGCAATCTTGGGACGTGGTAAACCAGAGCATCCGTACACAACTGGAATATACAAAATAACTGAAAACACATAAACCAGTGCTGCAGATATTCTGAGGAAGGCCACTACATGAGATGCAACCGATTGGGCTGTACTGCAGATGATTTTCGAATCATTCACCTCTTTAGACTCTACCTTATTTTCTAGTTGTTCAGCAATGGATGTGTTATTTGTTTTGATGGTGGCAAATGTCTCATTTTGTTTCCAGTCCAACGCCAATATAGCCCCTTACGTTACGTGAAGTGGAAAATAATATACTGTACGGCTGTGCACCGGTACAGAACTTGTACACGCACGCTACCATACTATCGTGTATTTAGACTCGCGTTCCGTGAGCCATTATTGCATGCAGGTGATACTGGTGATGCCGTGGTAAAAGCGCCTTTCCATGGGCCATTATTTATACGTAGACTACACACCGTACCTTACAACAAGTACTGCGCAATATACTATACACACATTACTACACATGCCAGATGGCACACAGAGTACGACAATCCAACACTATGCGTGCACAATTCACGCATATTTATGTTAGACTTCTTTCGCGCCGTACGTAGCCAACCGTGGAAATTGAAATTGCGGGGTAAGGACAACTAAACAAAACAACTGTTTTAAAGAAATACGTTTTCACTCTAGATTTAAAAGTGCATAGCTTCCTAATATCGGAAGAGGATCCAGACGGCCGCAGAAGCACATATGAAAACGTGCGATGCAGTGACCGTCTTTGATGGTTAGCCAAAAGTCATTGCGAGTATGACCGGAGTTTGCGTGATGATTTATGTCACTTGATGAGATCATCTAGAGTAGTCGTCGTTCGTTTGTGGTAAGCACTTCGTGCAACCGGAAACCAACGCAGCTCGGCGAGCACCGGACGGACATAGCGAGATCTTACAGTACCCGTCACGACACGCGTGCCGAAGAATTTGGCATTAGCGTGCTAATGTTTTTTTACCAGACGTCCCGTAGTTAGTTGTAATAATCGACCCTTGATCGAGCTCTGATATGAAAATTGCAGGACCTGATTATATTTTACACGTCGTGATCAAACGACATTCTGGTCGAGTATGGTGCGGCTCTTTAAAGGAGCAGAAAACGGAATCCTCCCACAAATGTTTTTGCCCGAGCCCAACCAGCAACTCCGATTTTCCAGGATTAAGCAGAGTATTGTAATATACACAAATAGTGTGTACAGTACACACGTCACGATACACAATGCGAAACACAATAACATAGTCATATTGTACACACGACATAACACAAACACGATACGTTGTTCAACAAGTTAATGTCCTGCTCAAATGATCACACTATGTAACAATTTTTGTTCCTGGGTACTAAGTGTTATTTTTTTATTGTTTATGCCTAAAAAGTATAGAAAAAGGCTATTATTCCACACAAACTTTGCTTTTGTGACCAGGACATTATGTGAACGAAAGACACAAATGCACACCACTTTTCTCAATGAAAACAGGTACATTTCTAAATATCAATGTCCTAGTCACAAAAGCAAAGTCTGTGGTGCATAATAGCCATTTACTGTATTTTTGAGCCATAAGCAATTAGGAAATAACACTTAGTACCCAGGAACACATTTTTTTTGTTACAGTGTCATCATTGCTATGGGGCTAATCTCTTGTTTACAACCACGAGCCACTGGTGGAATCCCCAAATCCTACGGCAAGGGAAAGTCTATCCACACTTTCATCACATGCATTACACACGACACAACCCGGAGCCACACTGGTAGTCAATAATTAACCAGCCAGTTACCGTTGTTTATCGAAATACACCACACGTGACGCAGCCTTTACCTCAATCAGTTCCCGTCTCTCTTATACACACATCGTTCCCCCGTGTATCCTAAACACACTGTACAAGTGCTGTTAGCGAGCACCTTTGAAGACCGCCACGGCACAGCACCATGTCCGGCTGCCTTTGTCTCCCGCGTGGCGATGTTTACACACCGCACCAAGGACTCATTTGGGGCCGAGTTGATCTAGAAGCGACCCAGGACCAGTTCAGATAATATAATCGTCACTGGTGTTGGCCGCGAGCGGGAATCAAACCCGGGTCTCCAGATTCGTAGCGCAGCCCGTTAACCGATACACTACCGCTCTCCCCACACACACAAGACGACACTCCCCATGGGGGGACCGGCCCGGTCTGGCCCGGCCCGGCCGGGGCGGCTCTGCGTTGGGTGGCGGGATATCTAGGCGCGATTGGGGACTCACCCGCCCAGCAAGGCCGCAGCGTCAGACAGCCACAGACGCCGATGGAAGCGCCTGAAGGGGGGTATTCAACCGGGCAGGGGGGGGGGTCGAGGAGTGGGGCCGTGCGGGTACACAGATGCCGTCTGTAGGGTTCCTCGCCTCGCCACCGTCTCCGCTTCTCGTCACGGGCGGCGACGTCCGGACTCTGAGCAGCGACTCCGGGTGTGGGCGGTGTCACGTGGTTTCACGTGACGTCACCAGGGCGGAGCCGCGACAGCGATTACACGTGGCGATTAATCAGCGTTCATCGATTACCCAGAACGCATATCGATTAATCAGTGATCGATCATCAATGAAGAAGAGGAGATGTCGATTTATCACAGTGAATGTCAATTACTGAAAGTGGATATTGATTAATCAGAGTAGATTTCAATTAATCAGCGGATATCCATTCAAGAGGGGATGTCGATTACTGGAAATGGATATCAATTGTTCAAAGTGGACATCGATTAATTAGTGGGTATCGATTTATCAGTGGCCATTCTTAATCAGCGTGGATATCCATTAAACAGAGTTGATATAGATTACTGACAGGGGGTATCGATTAATCAGTGTTGATATTGATAACTAGAACACTTGTAATAGCCTGGTGTTTGCAAACCATTTAGGGAACTATGGCCATTTGCAATGATCAATGAGATCGTTGTTAAGCAATGATAAACTTTGCAATGCCGATAAATGTAAAATATATATATACAGTACACCGTACATGTATTGGTCAATGAGAGAGATCAATGACTAGAATGCTGAAGAAATGTGACCTTTGCTGTACAGACTGCTAAGCCCCTTAACATGGCGATAATGCCAAATGTTTTACATTTATGTTCATGTTTGCCAATTAATCGATCGACAATGTATTGATTAATTGATTGTAAAATACGTACTGTTCCTGGCCCCTGTGCGTGACACACCATGGGCCATAATTCGGTCACTTTTTATTTCCTTGAATTTATTCGACTGCTATAGATCTTATTTCGGCCACTTTTTCACACGTTTTTAATGTCATTTTTAAAAAAGTTTTGGGCGATTTATGAATTAAGGAGGTAACATAAGGGCAGGAGTCAAAATAGGGGTTGTAAAAATACTTCTTTATGTGGCGTCCCTCTGATGTCATATTTTACATCAAGCGCCCTCGCCATACACAACACGGTCACTTCACGAAACGGCTTTCAGTTCAGTGTTGCCAAATGTTCCACAAGTTTATCAAGAAGGTATGTTCAAAACTAAATTATATGCTTTAAGAACAAACATTTATTAAAGACGAGTAAATCCACATTTTATTACCATTCTTGTTTTATTACACCATACCATGTGATCTTAAATGTCATGATTTTGGGGAATCAAATAAACAAGAGCGATGTGTGTGGGTGGCTGTGCTGATGGACTCATTCCCATGACCCTGCCATCCGTGACGCACGAGGAGCCTTCCCATTGTACGTTTCGTGGGTTCCGGCATTCATATTTAAAGCGGCTGGTAACATATAAACTAGTTTAGACAATTGCAAATTCTAGAGCTAAGGCTAAAACGTGTCTTGCTTCAACCAGCGCAGACAAATATACACTTGGGGCTTTGGTGAAACACTAAAATTTTTGAAACAACTTCTTTGGTTCTTTCGGTAAAGTCACGTAGAATGAGAATAAAATAATAAATTTAAAATGTTTGAAAGAACTTTGGAAAGACCACGACAACAAAGGTCTCCTAAGGTGTGCATAGCGCCACGTAGATCTTGTTCATTCAAACTTTCCTCTCCGGATGCCGAAGACAACGCTCATTCCATAGAACAACGTCGTTAAGAAGGCAAAGATCTGTTGGAATGAACATGCACAATGTCGAGTTACACTTAGCTCCATAGCCTTCAATGCATGCACGTGTGGTGGCGCATGTATGGTGTATGTTTAACTTCTTTCGCACCGTACATAGCCAACCGTGCTAATCGGAGGTGTGGGAGAAGGACAACAAACTAAACACAAAAAGCAGTTCGAAAGAAGTGAGTTTTCAGTCTATATTAAAAGAGCTTAGCTCCAGTGGTTCCTATTATTGAAATGAAGAGCGTTCATCACCTAAGATTAGCACTGTTGGCTAAGTACGGTGCGAAAGAGTTCAACAGCCGCAGAAGCACATCTGAAAGCCCGCGATGCAGTTACCATCCATGCTCTATGACTGCTGGGTTACAGGTGCACGCCTTTAATACAGCAATTGAGAGCCAAGGGTTGGTGGATCACAGAGATTTGTGAACCTCTCAAACCCATTAGGTTGCAAGGTGGTCAAGTTATATACAGTACATCAAATGTATAACTGAATCCAACTGTGCAAAGCTTTGGGTATTATCCCTTCATATGCGTAAGTTTTCTTCCCCAAGTAAAAACACCCAAAATAATTTGCCCCAATGCAGGACACTCCATATTTGAAACGGGATGTTAAGCAAGCAATTCATTCCGCTTGGTTTTATATCTTAGAGGCAATACACTGGTTTACACCGGTAGGAGCAATTATAGTCACACCATTACAGCATGGATGCTTAGAGAGGCTGCATTTTAGGCAGTGGTGTGTTTGGAAAAATCAGTATTTGGGACTCGACTAGCTCTCGCGGGAATATCAAGAGTGCCAATAGGAATTTTGATTTGTTTGTGATGGTTCTTTTAATGTACAAAATCTCTTTAAAATATATTTTTGTATTTATTTATTTCCCGCCTGCCCTAATGTTATCTCAATCTTGCTTTCAGCATCACGGAATTATATGAAGAAGCTCTTTGGATCTCTCATAGAGCAGTGCAACCTTTAGTGATGGAGAATAGCCCATGACAGCAGATATCAAAACTACATCTGAGATCCCTTCTTCGAGTGTCCTCTGGTCCACACACAAGAGGGCAGCACTCTCCCACCCCCTCTGCCACATGACAGAGATGTACATCGCGTGCCAATCAAACCGATACTCGAATTCTCAGAACTGAAGCCAAATTAAGTGCGGAGCTAAGTTTAATGCAATTATTTTTGTGCATTTATTGGTGACTGGGCTGAGACCATCAATGGTATGATGTTTGAAAAAGGCTACTTATTTAAATGAGGCATCACAGTGCTTTAGCAGTTAGAATTAATGTCGTTAATGAAATATGCCCCGTGGTGCCTGTAATATTAATGCACCTGATTGGGCTGTAGATGGGTTATTGTAACGCAAAACATGAGCAATATTAGCAACCTCATATTTCATTAACTGTAAAAAATAGTTTTCATGCAAAATTCCCATTTATGAGAATGAGAAGGAAATGTATAACTTTGATTCCGCTGAGTGAGACGTTTTGCTACGTGACGTTTGAGTGGAAGGGCCCGCCAGTGGCAAGTGCTTGGAATTGGAGAGGGAGGGCGTGCGGGTTACAGTGGATTGATGGACACTCAAAGCAGGGTGCAATAAAAACAATTCCAGGATAAAATTAAATAAAAATCCTTCACCAACCCACTTGGGCCATCGTGGTGAAGTTTAATCCAATATTAGATTGACAAATAACGGAACACAATTATAATACACCACATAAAATGTGATGTTGCCTTCATGTGGTATTTGCATTTTTAAATTATAAAAATAATGTGTTTCACCTTGGGAAGCCTCACCGAATATCAACTGTTTTTAACGAGGGTGCCGCAATATTTTTTATTCCAATTGTAATAACGAGTGTTTGGTTTCGTGTGGTGCACGTGGGAAAGTGTTGGATGTCACTGAAAAGGCGTCAGTAGGAGTTCTCTTATACGTTTAACTAAAATAAACAGCCTTGGCTACTGATGTGCGAGTTCCGACTGGACACTTGGTATCGTGACATGACACTGGCAGCACCGTCTGCAACCTGTGTTGCGATGCCTGTGGGTGCCGTCTTCGGACTGCAGCAGGACTCACCACAGCAGCCACGTTGAGACCGTAGAAAGAGTTCCCTGATAATGAGTAGGTGGCCAGCAAGTTTGCCAACAAGACGGACGCGCTGAGGTACATGCCAAACGCCACCGAGTTGTACAGGATATCCTAGGCACATGCACAACAAAGAGGCAGTCAGCTGGGAAGCAGATTTTGTCCCAACATCCCAACATAGAACCACAGAGTGCCGGTGCTGGGCTGCTTCCCACTTATCAGTGGTATCCCACATTTCTGGATCATTCTCTCTATACTCTCTCGCTCTCTCTCTCTGAGAGTTTACAAAAACTGTGCGAATTATATATTGTAAATAACTTTTACTGTCAGTTCCAATTTTTTCCCCTAATTATATCATCTATGTTCGTTCATTTGATTCCCAATCCGCTTGTCCTGGTGAGGGTCGCGGCAGCAGCATGTTAAATAGGGCGGTCCAGATCTCCCTTTCCCTGGCGGCAGACTCGAGCTCTTTCTGAGAAAATCCCAGGCGTTCCCAGACCAGTTGAGCGACATAGTCCCGCCAGCAGCGTGTCCTGGGCCGGCCCCGGGGTCTTCGCCCAGTGGGACGTGCTGCCTGGTAGAGTTCTAGGGGGAGTCTACGAGGGGGCATCCTTACCAGGTGCCCGAACCACCTCCTATGTATAATTTATAAATCTCTCAAAACAACCGTACAATCACCTCCAAGATTTTTTGATGCAGCAGTAGTAAATTGAAACTATGATTGTAAAACCCGTGAAGAGAATGCGTTGTTGACGAGGCTCATGACCCATGTCTCAGAAGATTGAAATCGTAATTGTTTAAACACAGATAATGACGCGAATGAGAAGAGGCTCGATCCACTTTAAGGGCGTCTCGTCAAGAGATACACGGTAAGCAAAGCTAAATTAAAATGTTTCTCATTCAATCTTGAATATAGCAATATTAAGTCAAAAATTAAACTGAGTAAACATTATTTGCTAACACAACTGAGACCATTTAGAGACCAATTAATTGTTACACCCGTGAACCCGGTTTAATTGTGAGCAGTTGCCTCGATTTTAACGCAGGAATTCAGCGGTGCCAACTCTGCACTCTGACACAACGTGAGTCGACTGAGCTTCCCAGCCACCTCACACTGGCTCCAGGTTGAGGAGGCCACAGAATCTGCCTCTGGTTTTAACCTCGGCGACGCGTGCAGCTGAATTAATTGAGTTACGTGAATCCAAGCAGGCGCATGCAGTCGGCTTTTGTGTTTAATTTGTCATTCTTCCGCACCTCCGATGAGCACGGTTGACTGTGTATGGTGCGAAAGAAGTTCAACATACGTACGTACAGTCCATGCAGATTCTTAAAAACACTGCTCACTCGAGTCCAACGATTGTGCATCATCAAATAATTCAATGGGAACCAGTCATGGTGATTGACGGTGCAGCACTCACTACTTTACTCCAGTTACTCGTTCACTGGCGGTCGGTTGCCTCCTTATCACTCTTCTATTGCTGAAACCAGTTACCGTTCCAGTGAACTTCACTCGTAATGAGGACTCAGTCAACCGGACACCGTTTCGTGTCATCCACAGCGTTCAACCACCACACTGCAGGTCACAACAACACACTCACTAACCCACTCACCACACTGCAAGTCACAACAACACACTCACTAACCCACTCACCACACTGCAGGTCACAACAACTCACTCACTAACCCACTCACCACACTGCAGGTCACAACAACTCACTCAGTAACCCACTCACCACACTGCAGGTCACAACAACACACTCACTAACCCACTCACCACACTGAAGGTCACAAAAACACACTTACTAACCCACTCACCACACTGCAGGTCACAACAACACACTTACTAACCCACTCACCACACTGCAGGTCACAACAACACACTCACTCAACCACCACACTGCAGGTCACAACAACACACTCACTAACCCACTCACCACACTGCAGGTTACAACAACACACTCACTAACCCACTCACCACACTGCAGGTCACAACTCACTCACTAACCCACTCACCACACTGCAGGTCACAACAACCCACTCACTAACCCACTCACCACACTGCAGTTCACAACAACTCACTCACTAACCCACTCACCACACTGCAGGTCACAACAACCCACTCACTAACCCACTCACCACACTGCAGTTCACAACAACTCACTCACTAACCCACTCACCACACTGCAGGTCACAACAACTCACTCACTAACCCACTCACCACACTGCAGGTCACAACAACCCACTCACTAACCCACTCACCACACTGCAGGTCACAACAACTCACTCACTAACCCACTCACCACACTGCAGGTCACAACAACACACTCACTAACCCACTCACCACACTGCAGGTCATAAAAACCCACTCACTAACCCACTCACCACACTGCAGGTCACAACAACTCACTCACTAACCCACTCACCACACTGCACGTCACAACAACACACTTACTAACCCACTCACCACACTGCAGGTCACAACAACTCACTCACTCAACCACCACACTGCAGGTCACAACAACTCACTCACTAACCCACTCACCACACTGCAGGTCACAACAACCCACTCACTAACCCACTCACCACACTGCAGTTCACAACAACTCACTCACTAACCCACTCACCACACTGCAGGTCACAACAACCCACTCACTAACCCACTCACCACACTGCAGTTCACAACAACTCACTCACTAACCCACTCACCACACTGCAGGTCACAACAACCCACTCACTAACCCACTCACCACACTGCAGGTCACAACAACTCACTCACTAACCCACTCACCACACTGCAGGTCACAACAACACACTCACTCAACCACCACACTGCAGGTCACAACAACCCACTCACTAACCCACTCACCACACTGCAGGTCACAACAACTCACTCACTAACCCACTCACCACACTGCAGGTCACAACAACACACTCACTAACCCACTCACCACACTGCAGGTCACAACAACCCACTCACTAACCCACTCACCACCCTGCAGGTCACAACAACACACTCACTAACCCACTCACTCAACCACCACACTGCAGGTCATAACAACACACTCACTAACCCACTCACCACACTGCAGGTCACGACAACACACTCACTCACCCACTCACCACACTGCAGGTCACAACAACACACTCACTCACCGACTCACCACACTGCAGGTCACAACAACTCACTCACTAACCCCTATTGTCTTTCGGCTCCAATTATCGATTCAGCCACCTGCCTGCGCCATGCGAGGGTGGACAATCCGAGTTGGTGCAAGCTGCCTCTTCAAACTGTAGCCACAAGCCATCGCTGCAGCAGGACAACCGCCAGGTGGGACACTTCCAGTGATTGTCACATTGACAGAACCAGTGATGACCACAGCAACGTGGTATTTAAACCAGTGGCTTGTGGGGATGAGCATGATCCAGAGCTTGTGTGGGCACGATGCCTCATTGTAGACGCATTATTGACATAAACGACACTGTAGCTGTGCACTGGGGAGAGGATGCGGAGTGGAAGTAGGGGAACGAGTTTAGCAGCGCCGTGTCATGCGCCTTGGGCAATGTCGATCAGCTCCGCGGGTGCAGCCGTTTGCGTTCCTAGGTGGCGGCACCGTAAGCGGCGCAACAGCAGCGGCAGCTGCCTCGCCATGACTTCACTGGGGCCGTCACAACTGCTCACTTTTCATTCGTATCGAGTTGTCGTTTTGTAATTCAGTGGCTTCATTAACAGTTGTGTCCAGGGCTTAACCAGCGACTGGTACCATTACAACACCAACCACCACGCCCAATACGAAGTCCCACTAATTAGCAGGGGTTATTTGGGATTTGGACCATGGCTCAGGCACACAACAGACTGGCATTAAACTAATTATTGACCATGTCAATGTAATGCCACAGTGGCAGCGCACTCATTTTTCGAACGAACTGATAGGCAGTCAAAGTCCCATTGGGTATTACTGTAGATGTAAAGTGAACCCAGGCCATTCATCATTGCAGTAGCCCAATGGTTACAAAGGCTTTACAAGCAACAACACACAAAGCATGCCTCATCGCAAACGCAAGAAGAGTGAAATGCTGTGACTTGTAAAGGTCATGTTATGATATCAGCTTCCATTCAAGTTCCACATTTGAGAATGAGTGCACGCTCTTGTTACTATTGAGAAGACTGATTTCGTGAAATGTTAAGTTGTGTTTCTAGACAAAAGTTTAACCTTTGCTTTTAAAATAAAATTTTAAAATATTCAACTTAAAAAAAATGTTGATTTTAAAAACGTTTGTGATTTCCATAAAATAATTGCACAATTTTCGAATATTTGATTGCACCAAATGTGTACCTAGAATTTTACCTAAATATTCTCATGTCTCCCTTGAAGAAAAGACTTGTCAAGTGGTTCATAAATGGTTGTGTAAATAATATAACTATGATTACCAATCAGCAGTAGACATAGTTGTTAATTACCACGTGCAATGTAATACTCGTTTATAATTATAACTAAAACATAAACTGGCCACTATACAGCTATATTAAAACTAGTGAATTGCACACGTGGGCATTGCCACACACATCCAAGTTAAAATAAAGTGGTACAGGGCTGGGTTTCTGGCCATAGGGTACTGTCTAGTGACCATATTTCGCAATAACAAAATTGCGAGTTCAAATCCTGGTGAGCGGTCAATGTATCCCATCTCCATTCTAGTGTTGGTGAAATGAGTGCTGCTTAGTGGGAGGTAAAACATCTGTTATATTATATCGACTCGCCCCTGCCATATTTACACCGCTGGCTCAGGATTGTAATATGGATGAGCAGCACACCACAGGAATTTGAGTGGGAACCAATCTAAAATTTTAAAATTTTATTTCATTTATCCAGGAAACCATTTTGAACCTACATTGTGGATATTTGTCAATTAATTATCTTTACTAATTGTTTTGCATATGGGAGGAGTCCAGGTTATCTGGAGAAACACCAAGCACTTGGGGGAGATACAACTCGAAGGTTCTCACAAAGATATTCCTGATCCCACTTGCAGCACTACACCAGCAAGGTTGGCACAGTGGTAATACTCTCACCTCAGCAAGAAACACTTGGGTTGGATTCCCGACTTGGGCACATTTCTGTATAGACCTTGTATGTTCAACCCATGTTATGTGTTATACATCGGTTTCCTCCAGGTTCTCATACAAACTAAACTGGTGTTGGCCAAACATTCCAATGCACCTGAAAAGAAGTCATAGGACTCAATGTGGATTTTCTGGGTAAATAAATAACTGATGACGAACCCACTGGCTGTGCTACCGCCTCGCCGCAGCCCAACGCGTTTGGGAGCTTCGCAGATTCCCACGATTCACGCCCCCGGGCTGGACACGAGCGCGCTGGCTGCTCCCTCGATGTGGCATGACGGCACGTGTGCCAGCAGTTGCGGCGCTGCCACCAGCGGCTGAAATCGCCTCTCACCGCTGAAACGCGCTGTTCTCAACATTTAAAATAGACCTGGGTGGTGGCGGCAACTCTGCCTTTAAGCAGCCGACATTTGCACACCGTGCAGAGGCGTTCACACATTCCCTATAACCACGCGAGACACTACAGGCGACTGTCTCGCGTGGTTATCCCCAACCAACTGTGCAGTAATGTTTTCGGTATTAGTTTTTCAAGATAAAATGCTGTGTTGATGTCCACTTTCTGTTTTTGTAGCAGGCTAGTCTGGTACAGTCAACACGCGTAAATTTGCTCACATTTGGACAAAATGTTTTAAGTTTCTCGCTGCTTTTGTTCTGCACAGAATCTAAATAAATTTATTTTACCCAGGCCTCCCTTGCACAAGAGCATTGCCTTGATGGACTCTCACCTGATTATTAATAAATACAACTCATTAAGAAAAATACACCAAATTGATTACTGTATCCAATATTAAGGTAATTAAAAGACTGGATATTGACAAAAACTGTGATTTTAATTATGACCCATAGGAATTTACACTGGATGATGATAACATCAAAACATGGTCCCCAGCACTTGTGTGTACTTTATTGTGATTTCGCTTGTTTACCCATGAGAGCCTCACTGAGTCTCAGGACTCTTTTTTAGGAGGGTCCTGCCAGATGTATGGCAGTAGGGGTGATGTCGCTGTGTGTCTAATCCCAATTGACTACTTTACAGGTAAGCTTTTAGAATTGTGAGTGTGTGTGTGTGCTCTAGCTTTTTGAGTATTAAAGATGATGCAGGGGTGTGTTCACTCAGATTTCTGTCCGGGCTTGCGTCTGTGGTTTCGCAACCCACAGAAACAAATCCCTGATAAACATCCCTAACCTCTCGACCAATGCCCACCCAGTGCAGTGATTGCAGAAACCATGATGGCTGCGATAAGTTAATCTCACTGACAAACAAAACGTCGTGGTAGGGAACGCTGCCTAATCACTCGTATGAGTATCATCACTGGGGGGAGGGGGGACGTGCGAGGTGATGGAGTGATGGCTATGGGGCAGAGGGTTGGGCATTGGAGGGAGGGGTTGACTGGAGAAGCAGTGTAGGATGAAAGCAAGAGTCTGGACTAAAAGAGGGGGAGAAAGGTGATGGTGCAGAGCCAAATGGGAGTGCCAGGAAATGGGGGTGGCAAAGGAGAAGAAGCGACCTCTGTAGATCAGATATTATTTGTGGGGGTTCGCCAGCGCGCCTTTGTCCCTGGAGTGGTGTGCATGGGTTGAGAGATAAGAGAAGCCAGAGAGAGGGGAGTAAGACAATTGGGAGCCAGTAGAGCTTTCATATACGTAAAGTATAAGTTGGCATCTCACGGCCATCTTCCAGGCGTCGATGTTGCGCTCGGGCACGTGGGAGAGGTAAATGACGAACTGGATGAAGGTGAGAATGAAGAATGTCACGGCCACGAACATCACCCAGCCCTGGTATGTGGCAATCGGCAGGTTGGTGCCCGCCTCCAGGAACCACACGAGGGCCCCACACACCTGCGGAAAGCAGACAGCACGGAGGACTCTCAACACCACACAGGATTGCACTGCCTGGTACACAGAGTATGCCGGGCTCTCAGCACCGCACCACCCGGCCGTGGCGTTATGTTTAATGGTCAACACACTGCACTGGGTTAATGCACACACTTTAGCTTAAATGCATAAAAATAGGGAAATGTTTCATACAATACAAAAACACACTATAGCAAAGGGCATTGTTCAAAAGGATTTGTCATGTGAAATATATACATATTTAACCCGATATACAAAATATATCCAAGTGTTTAGAGCAAATAGGCAGTGATCATATCCTATTTACAACCCTGAGCCAGTGGCAGAAACTCCACATTCATATGGCAGGGTGGGTTTATCGATGACATCTGTTGACTACCCTACAAAGTGGTACCTGTTTTTTCAACCCCAGAGTGATGATGGGCTGTCAACCCACAACCAAGATTTGAATTCACAACATTCTGATCGCAAGCCGCCCGCTCTACTGCTGAGCCACCTGGCTGTATACAACAACCCCATAGATGCATACAGCTGTGCAATCATCACCATGGGTCCCCTAAGCATGGGCATCATAGGGGCACAAGCGATGCTTTGGCAATCCACCCTCTCCATCTCTCGCAGTCTTTTAGGGATCAGTATTAGTCCCTCCGATATGTACTCACTGTATAATAATAGAATGCCGTTAACTTTGAAATCAGTTAACAGAGCGCGAGAAGTCAAAATTGTCCCGTCTGGTGCCTAGTCAGTTTTACCGACGTTAACAAAAATAGAGTAAACCTGTCGAACGCAATTTCAAGCCAGCGATGAAAACGCGCGATCACTTACCAGCTCTCCCACAATGAGCAGCCCATCGAGCCGGCGGAACAGCAGGGAGCCCAGCGGCAGCGACGGCTTATGGCTGAGGCCAGAGATGTCGTGGGATCCGGTCTGCATTGCTGCTGCTGCTTTACGCGGGACTCAAATTCAGCCGGACAGCACTGCTGCTGCTACTACTGACACTCTGGCTAATGCCAAAGGGATCCGGGCGGGGCACCAACTTGCCCTGCGACCTCCCCCATTCCTGCGCGGTCAGAACAGGTGTGGATGTTGCCGAACCCTTACCCGACTGCGAACAAAAACACGCCGCACGCAGGGCGTGGCCGACCGACGGCTGTGAAGAGCCCAGGTGGTCGGACCGGCCATGGGTGGGAGACATCGCTCACAAGCAGCCACACCCTGGCTTGGCCCTCACCTGGGAGGCAGGCGGATACAACCACCCTGACCTCCTCTAACCACGCTCTGCTGTCCCCACAGCTGCGGTAGTACTGGAGATTTAGGAGCGGTGGATGAGGGATGTGAGAATATGGCAGCTGTTTAATGGGAAACAAGTCAAAATGTGAAATAGATTTCCTGCTTACGAGTAATAATTTGGTGTGCACTTGAGGAAGAGTGGCACTTCCTCTTCCTCACTCCTATCCACAGGACAGCCGCTGTGTACTTTCCCAAGGTGGTGTTCATTTTACCGAGAAGCTGAGTCAACCACCAGCCACGATGTGAACGCTGCAACCTTCTGATTATGAGCCACTCGCTCTACTGCTGAGCTACGTGGCTGGCCAGGGAAACTCCATTCTGGTTTTCATTTCATAACAAATCTTAAGGATTTATTTCCCAAATTTTTGTATTTTAATCCACACAAGAGTAGGCTAATAGCATGCTCATTTTGCCAGTGGTTCCGAGGTGACATTACTAAAACTTTAACGTAAACAAAAAACCCATTTATGGAGAACAAGGGCCTCTCTGTGTGCAATTTAAACGTACTTTTTAAATCCTTAGTGTAAAAATATACGAACAACAAATGGACCAAATCTAGTTAACTGTGCAATGAAATAAAAACATTTGTTTTTACTTGTAAACCAGTTTACACGTTCAAGGAGCAAACAAACAAGTCAATTAATTATGTGCAGTCAGTTTTGCAGTTGAAAAACAAAACAAGGCCAAATGTTTAAATGTTAAAAGCAGGAATTTATTTAGACCACTGTAGATACTCAAAAGATCATGTTTCTGTTCACAAAACTTAAAACACTTTCACATAACGTTTACAGAGTACAGTAGATACCCATCATGACTTGAGGGGCAGTTTCCTAAAAATTTCATGAAATACTGCAGTGACTCAAACCACGAGGCGTGTAACAATATGTCCCCCCTTGCAATCAGATAAATTGTCGCAATTCAGTCAGAATTGGATTCAACGATAAATGCATGTGATGCCATTGCGGTGAGTGTAGCGCCTCTAGCGGCTGCAGGGTTTACACGAATCAATCATATACAACATATAAGAATCAAAAAGAATCGATCCTCGCACCCATGCTTTGATGTACATTGTGAGCTTAAAAATCGATTTTAATCGATGAAATCTGTGCATCATCTAATGCCTATAAACCACTTCAGGAACGAAAACCGCTATTCACCGCGTTAATCATGAAATGTTTGTAACGTCAAGACGCAGGACCATTGTAGATCACGCTTTGATGCTTCTCCACAACCCTCCAAAGCCTCTTCTCATTTTTACAACCACACAGAAGCATGCCGAAATAAGTGCATTATAAAAATGAGGCACTAACATGTACAGTAAAATTACGTTAATAAGGAAATAAGTTTGAAAACACGATAAGAAAAAAGAAAAACCTCATCAGTATCATGATTACGAATGCCTTTTAACGGATAAATATGCCTTACAATGGATAAATAGATAGTGGGCCAATGGTTTGGGCAATGGCCATTCTTTGTTAAATCGGATGCTGCCGATGGAATATCTAGAGTGAAAATCGAATCATCGTTACCAAGGCAGATCCGAGCGTTTAACGGCTGACACCAGACTTTAACGACTGCAATCTGTTATCAGGTGCTCTCTGGTTATAAGGCAGTGGTAATGATGAAGGTGATGGGTGCTTGCGGTCTATGCTTGTACTCTGCTGCCAATGCAGTCCCTTAAGTTTTTTTTGTCGTAAGAAAAATCACTAATGGGTTGGCATGGCCCGCCGACCTCCAAATGCTGACGAGCTTTCTTGCTTGGAAAGCACTCGTTCTGTCACATCTGTGAATCATCTCCACCGTCATCACACCCTGTGGAAGGAAATCATCATCAGCATCATCATACAACCATCATCATAATCTTCTTTATAATACTTTGTAGAGGGCTTTTCCTAATTTCTATTAGCGTTCATCACACACTAGTTTGTAATTGTCACACATGCATCATCATCATCTTGATATCAGCAAAAAATGGTCCTATAGATATCATCGCCATCATCATCGTCGTCATCTTTATAATAAGTGAAGCCACTGCAGACTGTGTCTGTGACACAGTGCCTCCATGAAGCCTTGCACTATGATCACAGTGGGAATACCAAGCGAACTTGTGAATTGATTTTATAACCTGATAAGAGGCTTCACCTCCTTTCTGTTAGCTGCAGAAGCAGGCATTTAATAGGGATTGGACATTATCCTCCAATTATAAGAATGCTTCAGCTAAGTTTTGACGGTAGACAAGGAGTCACATACAGGTGCGACTAAGCGGCTATTGAGCAGGACGTATGCACTCTACATAGCCAACCGTGCTAAGTGGAGGTGCGGGACAGATGCAGGTGAATGCAGGCGAGTGTAGCTGGGGACAGGTGAGTGTAGCTGAATGCGAATGAGTGTAGCTGAGTGCAGGAGAGTGTATCTGAGTGTGAGTGAGTGTAACCGAGTGCAAGTGAGTGTAACCGAGTGCGAGTGAGTGTAGCTGTGCGCATGTGTCGGCGAGTGTAGCTGAGTACAGGTGAGTGTAGCTGAGTACAGGTGAGTGTAGCTGAGTACAGGTGAGTGTAGCTGAGTAGATGTGTCGCTGAGTGCAGGTGAGTGTAGCTGAGTGCAGGTGAATGTAGCTGAGTAGATGTGTCGCTGAGTGCAGGTGAGTGTAGCTGAGTGCAGGTGAGTGTAGCTGAGTAGATGTGTCGCTGAGTGCAGGTGAGTGTAGCTGAGTGCAGGTGAGTGTAGCTGAGTGCGTGTGAGTATAGCTGAGTGCAGGTGAGTGTAGCTGAGTGCGGGTGAGTGTATCTGAGTGCGGGTGAGTATAGCTGAGGGTGAGTGAGTGTAGCTGAGTGGATGTGTTGCTGAGTGCAGGTGAGTGTAGCTGAGTGCGTGAGTATAGCTGAGTGCGTGTTAGTGTAGCTGAGTGCATGTGAGTATATCTGAGTGCAGGTGAGTGTAGCCGAGTGCAGGTGAGTGTATCTGAGTGCGGGTGAGTATAGCTGAGGGTGAGTGAGTATAGCTGAGTGGATGTGTCGTTGAGTGCAAGAGAGTGTAGCTGAGTGCGTGAGAGTGTAGCTGAGTGCGTGTGAGTATAGCTGAATGCGGGTGAGTGTAGCTGAGTGTGGGTGAGTATAGCTGAGGGTGAGTGAGTGTAGCTGAGTGGATGTGTCGCTGAGTGCAGGTGAGTATAGCTGGGTGCAGGTGAGGACTGACCTTCACTATGCGCTTCAGTTGATTCTGACGGAGACACAGACGAGAGCAGTTAGTCGTCGCTGTAGTGCAGTGAGGTTGACAATAAACACACAAGTGTGGGTCAACTGTAGAGGCATGTACAAGTCATATATTCATTGCTTAAATTCGATTATTATACTTTTCACATGTGCCAAAATCATGCATTCATATAGATTTTCCGTGACAAATGGAATAAACAAGACAGAAGCAAGAAAAACGTTGCACAATACAAGCACGATTGATCCTACACAGGAATGCAGAAAAAATTATGCAAATGAAACAAAAATTATAATTCATTTTCCTAAATTTGTGACCCGGATCGTGGCAAGTCAATGAATCGCAGAGTGAATAATTACAGGCCTTGTAGAAAAAAGTATAAACGAATAAATCACGCCTGCAGGGTGCCTTCACAAGCCATCACAATGCATTTTAAATTCTGGACATCTGTGAAAAAGAGCTTCATAGCTCATCAGATTTCTCCAGGATAAATACAGATTATGGATCTCAATACAAATTCAATAAAAAACACAAAAATTGTAAGAATACAACCAGCACTATTTAGAAAATACAACGTTAAAAGAATTGGTGTCAATGATACAAACTGGTGCATATTATGAAGGTGCACTGTTGGAAGCTACATCTTTAATCACAACTTAAAACTATGTATGGACTCTCAGTACCTGATTTTGAAAGTAAATTGCAATACAAATGCTTTTATTCCAATGAATTAATTCGCAAAGAGGGATGCATTTTATAATATAAATCAAACACTTAATGTTACGTATCTATATTCGATTTTTTTTCATCAACATTACCCCTGTCCATTCACCCTCGTGATTTACCACAGCGTGCCCCGCCGCATTGGAAGCCAGTAGTGGTTCCTGTGTCATGGCAAGACTGGGCCTTGCCACAGGAATATCCAATTTCCACCTTGGGGCCAGGACCTCCAAAAGAGATACGCTCCACCCAGTGCTCGAAAAAAAGCATGGGAAAATGTTGACCTTTCAGGGTTGGGCAATAAACAACATCTCTCAGTGATTGACAGGTGGGGACAAGGCACAGGGAAGAAAGGGTGAAAGGCGCACAGCTATAAATACCTGGCCAGGTGACTCATCGGTAGAGCGAGTGGTTTGCAATCGGAAGATTGTGAATTCAAATCCTGGTTAAGTGGTTGACTCTACGCACTAACCCTCCGTGTTGGAAAAAATGAGTCCCAATTTGTGGGGAAGTCAACAGTGGTTGTCCTAAGGATAGATTTGCCCTCACCATAGGCATGAAGAGTTTCCACCACTGGTTCAGGGCTGCAAATGGGAGTTGAGCACCGCCTTGATGCTCATTTTGGGCAGGAATTACTATGACTCAAGTTGATATAAATGGAGAAAAGGGGCCACTGAGGAAAGGGGCAAGTGCGTGCGGGGGATGGCCCTTCT